ACGCATTCTGGATCCTTGATGCCTCGCGTTTTCCCGCAGAGTGAAACCGGGGGGGCAACGATCAGAGTCCCGCATGACCCAGGGGGGTAGGGTGTCCCTCGGCCGGTAGCGCCAAAGTACCGTGAAGACGGTATCCGACAAAGAACTTGCGGTCGTTTTTCCACAAGCTCGATGATGTACCCGAAAGTCCCACTGCATGAGACAGCCTTCGTCAGTATACTTGGGGGCTTCCCTGACTTTCCCGCTCGCTCGCTCTCTTATACCCCCATTGATGGGGCAGCTACTTAAAACAAGAACGGGGTTGTTGGGTTTGAGGTCTCATGTACCACTTCTGGACGAACCGACCAACGACGGACGGGAAGAAACAGAAAACGATTGCAACTGTGGGCGCGGGATGCCAGGTGTATCAAGGAACTCCGCCCTCCCCCCTCCCACCCCCCACTCAAAACTTACAACCCCTCTCCCCCCCCAAACAGGGCCACGATTTCCTCGTACTCGGCCGCTCCCCCGACGTCTCCCCCGCCTCCCAACAACGCTTCGTGTTCGACCCCACCGTCGACCTGCCCCGCCTCCGGGGGACCAACCCGGTCCGCCGCGACGTGACTATGCTACCCCCGCGCGGCTGGCTGCTGCTGGCGTTCCGCGCGGACAACCCCGGCGCGTGGCTGTTCCACTGCCACATCGCGTGGCACGTGTCGGGCGGGCTGAGCGTCACCTTCCTGGAGCGGCCGAATGAGCTGAGGCAGAGGATCACGCCGGCGGATAGGGCGGATTTTAATCGCGTGTGTGAGGAGTGGAGGGAGTATTGGCCGACGAATCCGTTTCCGAAGGTGGATTCGGGGTTGAGGCATCGGATGGTGGAGGAGAGTGAGTGGATGGTTAAGGCTTGACTTAGGTATAGGTTGAGATGGGGGGAGGGGAGGGGGGTTATTGGGAGGGGAGGGTGGCTTGGCTTATTTTCTTGTGGGGACAATACATGTAGGGAGATGTATCGATGGACTTAGTTTCTTTAGTGATGGCAGTGCGAATCATAATCGTGTCCTTGTTGACTTAACAGTGCCTTTGATGTGTAACACACGGAGACTAGGGCTCTGACACCCTTCAACGATCCCATGTTAAAGATCACAATCACGCCTTTGAAATACGAAAAGGGCTGGTCGCCGTGGACACCCACACGATTTGATACTTTCCCACCATGTAGCAGCACTTCTCCCCTCTCAAGGCCGAATGACCCCGTCTTGGTTCTGGGGGCCAACCGAGGGTTTCAGCGGATTTGTCACATCAGGCACGAGAAAATATCTGTTTCCCATGGATTCTTCTCTAGGGGTAGTACACAACTCAGAGGCTACAATCCCGGGTTCAGAGCAGCACAGCCTCCTGGGGAAAAAGCTACCAAGTAGGTAGGTGTGGTTTTCGCACCCTTGAACGGCAGCAGGTTCTGCAGGCCTCTTAACAAGCGCCATCCTTCGTACCAGGGCCACTATAGTTCTGGCATGGCGTCTTAGCGTCAGTGCAAACGTTAACGAGGGTGGCCTTGTCGCCGTTGGACTTGGTGATACCAGCGACCTCGCCCCCATTGCGGGCCGTGACTCCCTCGATGTAGACCTCGCGGGCGCATTTCTGGCACTGGGGGCTATTAGCATGCTGGACGGATAATGGGTCGAGATAGCCCCCGGGTCCCAACTTACAGTTCCGCACGAACGGTAAACTTTTCCGTAGTCTTCGGCATAGAAGTTGATGATCTGGTAATGATGTTAAACTCGAACAAGTTGCAGCTACTCGAGGCGCAAGGGGCACAGACATTCACACGGCCGCAACCGTTATGCTGGATGATCTTGTCCGAGGCATGGTAGGCACCACCACCAATAATGTTGGTCACATCTCCCGCCCTGTCATCTTTCTAGAATCACGTTAGATAACACAAACTTTGTTTTGACTTTTGGTTCCATGGTACTGCTTACGATGGAGATGGCATCCTCGCAGACATCCTCAAACCACAGGAACTCGAGGTTGCAACCGCCTCCTTTGCAGTAAACACCCTCTCCGGCGGTCTTTCCGATGATGACGTTGCGCAGGGTGCCGCCGCGCTCGACAACAAAGGCCGTGTCGCTTTCACCTCCCTCTCCCTGCTCCTTGCAGGTGCTGGGGTTCCGGTCAAATTTGCGCCAGCCACCGTCGTAGACCTCGCCGGCCTTCACGTAGATGGGTGCGGAGAGGGGCACGTTTTCAGTCGGCTTGGGAACGCCGCCCTCGTACCCCAGGCAAGCCAGCGCCGTAGGCGCGGCGGCAAGTACGGCGAGAGTAACGTGTTGAGCTTTGGCGAGCATGGTGAAGGCCGAAAGGAGTTAGTGACTGACAAATGTCATGAGGTACTCGTCATTTTCGAAGGGCGGCACGAAATGTCGAGGACCTTTAATAGACACTGGTGATAACGATTCTCGTGCCTTGGCGTAGCGAGCTCGGGAGAATCATGTTGACAATCTCCCTTCATGACCCATGCTGGTATTACTGGGCGTGTTTCTGATGCTCGCTCGCCGAGCTAAGTGGTGGATTTTGTGGAACGTTAGTAGGTATTGGCACTCGGCGATGCTACCCGTTTTGAGCTTACGGAAAGACACTGAGCGCCCAGAGACGGAGAATTGCTCGGACGCGCTCCAATGGACCCCGAATCAGGGAATGCGATCGTAGATCGCCCAATTCGATTCTTGGAGGTTTCGTTTCGTGTTCGGCATGACATCGAGTCCCGACACGTGGCCGAGCCCCCCTGCTCATTTCGCACCCTTCCCTCGTGGAGATGTTGCTTAGGTGTTTGAGCCCGGTGCATGGTGCTCCTCCTGGGGTGATGTGGGTTGGTGTTGACATCCCTCATAGCAATTTCTCCGCATTTCTAGATTCTTTATGGTGTGAGTTTTCCCGTCCACTGCTGATGATTGCACCTTCGGTAAACACTTCTCCGGGGTTGTCATTAGGGTACCATGGAGGTGTGGGGTTCATCCAAGAGCCCTACACTATCCGTACCGAGGTCAGAAACGCCACAAACCTACCTAGGTAGGTAACACGCAAGATTATCAGCCAGAGAGGAAGAACCGCGTACAAGCCACTGGGCTGTAGAAACCTCGCAAGGGGTCACATCGCAAGGTAAGATGTGAACAGTGTATAGTTTCGTTATAGAACTTGGGACCGGATCTTACATGCATCGAGTTCATGTTCATAAGGGAACGATGTCAGGCCCATGCCTACTACCCATGTGTGCATTCGGGCAGCAGCAACAGGTGAATATCATCGGGAGGACATTCCAGTCTGTTGACTCGTCTCCGTTCCCGTGATGACAGTTCCCATCACATTCGACACAGCACCCTCAAGGATGAATATATCCCTCTTTCGAAACAGAGCACTCTCATCCACAAACTCGCGGGCCCAATCACATCAATACCGCAACAAAATCAACCTTGCCACCAAAGCCTAAAGAGCTCTCGCGCCGTACCTAATGATTTGACCAACGAACAGGCAGGAATGCCAACCACCCGACAAAAGCTCTGGTGGAAGACGGCCGCGGCGATCGACCAGAACAAACACTGTATTATATGACAGGCTATGAACCCCCTGCAAATTTGGCTCAGCGGATCTATGTTGGGCCCGGCGGGTGATCGGGTTGTAGAGCCAACGCGTTATACGTTAATGACAGCTCATCCTCCTCCGACTCTTCACTCGACTCTTTATCTGAGTCTACCGAATATTTCCCTCGACTCTTCCCTTGACCGATCGTCACTCGGGCCATGGTTCCGGTTATCGAATTCAGTGGCAGTGACGTTGCCCGTTATGCTGCGGAGATCCGGCTAGATGCTCAACCAGGTTAGCTTTTCCGCTCTCCATGCATTCTTAAACCCCAAGGGACAACAACGGGAAAGTCGTGAGGTATAAGGATACCGGTGGCTATTGACCAATTCCCAGGTATCAGCTGTAAGCTTGGCCTACGTCCTGCGCTTCCTGGACCAGACATTCGTAGGCGGCAAGGTCCCGCGACCCAATGCAGACCTCCACCCCGTGCTCGATGTTGGACTTCTTGCAGAGATGGGACTGCCCCAGACTCTGTTTACAGATTTGGCGAATCAGGCGAGACGGTTGGACATCCCAGGTTATGCCATGGTTTACGAGTTCACACGCCCAGGTTTCCTCCGCTTGACGGCCAACGATGGCTGCCGTTCTAACTTTCGGGAATGGAGATAGCGAGGACGGCTGGGATATAAAGGGTTAAAAGCAGCTGCGATAACATCTTGTTGAGGTAAGTCCGTTGGCCGTTGGGTGATTGGTGAAGGGGTCGGAACCGATGCGTGTTTGTGGTGGGGTGAGACAGGTATAATGTGGTTATGGATGGTAGGGAGAGGGAATATGAGACACCCAACCTCCCGTTTTATACATAGGTACTGACGCGGGTGAAAAGCCTTCCTCACACCACCCAAAGTGCCAAGTGAGTCAGTGACCTGCAATACTGGAAAGGGGAAATTGAGACATGACGAGTCATAACAACCCATTTACAGCGATTGTTGGGAGCAACCAGACGTCTCAGAGGTGCCACTGCGCAAGCCTCACCTATAACCAGTAGCGTTTCAAAACGCAAGGGGCTGGCCGACCACAGTTCCCTGCCGAATCTTAGTGTAGAAGATATGAACGACGATCCAGCTGAAGGGCGAATTGTGTGCGGTGGCGATGGAGCCAGATGCCACATCACACACTGGAAACCTAGGTTGGTATCGATTGCTGGGCACCGAGATGAGCATGTTCTAGTCGCGGATTTGGCAGCGGGCTAAGCCTCCGCCGGCCCGACTTTGAAGTCCCAAGGAGAACCAGACTATCAGCGGGCCCGCTTTAGCCGCAGCAATAGTTCACACTGTCGGGTCATTCCCAGTAGGTAGTACCTATCCTCTGCGGCATGGCCCTGCCACATTGGGGCCTTGAGTCCTCAGGAACATAGTTACCGCCAGAGAGGGTAGGTACGGTAGTGATGGGAGGGCATAATACTCGGTTGATTCAGTTGATTACTTGCAACATGTGTACCTAACGCTGACATAGATGTCGCCAAAAATAGGGAAAGCTGATCAATCCTCTCGGCGGATGAAGCGCCAGCTTATCATGCCCTACAGACTCACCGATTCTCATCACACAGGTACGCAGAACCACACAGCATGCCAGGTGATTGGGGCGGGAGCGTGCCGTCAGAAGGGGTAAGTTGCGCAAACCCAGGGAGAACCTTTATCCTGTAACATTCGGTTTTACAACCGCTCAATAAGGGCCTCAGATGCCTACTAACGTGTACTCTTGGGTACACGAGAACAGTCACAATCATAATCAAGGCAACGGCTGCGAGTGCGAAACAAATTTGATGAACCGAGTGCGATTCAGCCCCTTAAGAAAGCTGACGTTGGACCGAGAATATAGGGCCGACATGTCTAGAGAAAACCATGGAACAGCGCAAAGGCTGTAGAGGATGCTGTGTGCCTAGATACACTCATTGCCGGGCGATGGTAACGTTACCCCCATTGCACTGTATATCCGGCTGTTCAACCAGGTTAAAACTGCTGTGCTGGAAGGGACAAAAAGCGGCGGGGATATTGAAGGGGGGTGGACTGGAACTTACTAAATACCAAACGCCTCCCTCATCATTTTCCCACTGCGCCGCTGCGGCGGCCACGCAAGCACAGCTGATATCATCCTCTGACTCGACGCAGAGTTGCCCAGACCCATGCCGTGCGACACAAGAGACACTCCCAGAGCCTTTAACGCATATATTTGTAGTAATATCATGGGATGGCTGCGCAGGCCAAAGTGCTCCTCCCTCCAATGGCTCGCACTGGCAAATGTCGTCTGCTTGCCGCACGGCGACGGGGGCCGCTCTGGGAGTTGCGAAGGCGAGAGCGGATGGCAGGAGAATTGCTAAGATCATGGGGGACAGCATTTTGGTGATGGCTGCTCTCAGTCGCTTGGTAGTTGTTGGTTGGAGAGTCGAGAGGATGAATGGAATTGGTGAATGTTCTGGGTGAGCGACATGGAGAGAAAGGGTTGGAGCATCGGGATTCAGGAGGCTTCCTTCTTATACGCGGAGCAACTGAAGGTAACTGTTTAGGTATACATACCTGCACCAAGTAATTGCATAGGAGGCCTCGCGAGTTCCTGGTTAGTGCTCATGATTTGCCATGATCTGCAACTTCAAGCGCCTTGTGGGGGGGGACCTGAGACAAACAACCACTCACAACCGCTTGGGAGAAGGCGTCGTGGTCGCCCAGAGGTGCCAGCCATCTCGGCACTGGCCAACAAAAGTAAGAAGCCCAATTACAGATTACAGCACGCCCTGAGATGCCAGCTGAATGATAATCCAAGCCCCAAGACGACGCATGCGAGTGCCGATCCAGCATCTTGGAGTGGGAAAGACGCGCGCTTCGCCGTGCCTAAACATTGAAAGCAAGGGAAGATACCTACCTCGTGTGGTAGCCAATGTGAGGGAGTTAGAGTACACATCACTCCGCCAGAAACCTTCCTCCCCAATAGGAAAATTAGGGCTGTCTGATAACAGGTTATGAGGACCTCTAGATGGAAGATCTCGGACACCGCACCAGGTACCTTATGCAAGCACACACTAAAGAGCGCCAGCCGACTTTGGTCCAGATCAAACCTGTCTAGATCTGCCATCTGAGTGTGAAGCCTTCTGACGTAGGCTAGGATTCCGGAATCTTGAACAGAAGCCGAGTCCGAGATCGCCCGAGGTTTGCATTTATTTGGTTACTCTCAGTTATGTGACATGTCCAAATGCGACCTACCAGAAGTGGTTACATGTAGTTCCCGGTTCCTCACCTGCGCAGACCGTCACAGTGAAACAAATTCCAAAGCTGAGACACTCAGGCGCCATGCGTAATAACAAGCACCTATTGTAGCCTAAGCCAGGACCGCCCAAAACAATGGCCCCCTCGCTCAGCCGGACCCAGTCTCGTCCACGCCAGAATGCCAACAGCCCCGTCACTCAAGACAAATCATAGCATCTCTCTAACAAGCCTACAACCACCACGCTCAGGCCGTAAAAGACCCCTCATAGATCATATCCCTCCTCGCGCCAGCACCACCAGCACCACCCCCCGCCACAACCGCCGACACATTCCCCACCACCGTCCCCTGCTCATCCGCATACCCCGCCCAAGCACTCTTCAGCGCCCAGACTGCAACACTCACCGTCGCCCCCGGGGGCAGGGCGCGCGAGGCCAGCGAGACAACCGTCAGCGGCTGCGTGGGGTAGAAGAGCACGGTGGCGGCCTGGACGCCGCCGTCGGCGAACCACTCGCAGATGGAGCGGTCGAAGAGCGCCTGCATGCGCCAGGAGGCGAGGCCGTTGTTTTCGTCGGTGTGGGGGATGTTGGCGGCGCTGAACTTGTCGGTGAAGAAGATGTTGTCGAAGCCGCGGACCTGGCCGCGGTCGATCCAGAAGGGGTTGTCGCCGCCGAAGAAGAAGCCCGAGCGGAGGGCTTCGCCCGAGGAGGGGGAGGAGAAGGTTAGGTTGAGGGTGCTGTCGCTGGTGATGAGGGTTGTGTTGAGGTTGGTTACGTTGGCTTCGATGTAGAGCGCGTTGGAGGCGATGTGGGAGAAGTCGAGTGTGAGGGACGAGTTGCCGAAGGTTGTGGCCTCGAGGCGCTCGGCGAGCACCGGTGCTGGGTCGATGAGCTTGTTGATCATGGTCTGGCCGATGCGGGCCGCCTTCTGCAGGTAGTTGGCCCGTGGGGCTGTCATGGCACTTCGCCAGCCCTCGAGATTGCCCGTTGGTACTTGCTGCGTGTATTGCCAGTTGGACGCCCAGCCGATGCTGATGGCATCCTCCCCGTCGGGCACGCCGTAGAAGTACTGGGCGGCGTAGTTGTCCTTGGCAAAGTCGGTGAGCCTAGTCGCCGAGTCGTACGGGATGAAATGAGTGCCGTTAAAGTCGCCCGGGAAGTACTCGGTTATGGAGCCGCCCAACGGGGCGCCGGGCTGTACAGAGACGGTCATGACATAAGCCTCGCCCGTCACAGCGCCTTCGCTGTCTCTGACTGGCAGCTTCACGAGGTTGGGACACTCGTACTGCGTCCCGAGCAGGCCGTGGTAGGAAAAGTTGGATGCAAAGGTCCAATCTTTCTGTCGGAACATCTACGCCAGAGTTACGTCCTCGCAGGGGGACGTGACGGAGGGCAGGGGGGGGTCCACCACTGGGGCAGTCGTCACGTGGTCCTGGACCTCGGGGACGACAACCCCGGCTGCAAAATCTGAGCCCCCCTCATTTCTAGATAGAAGAACATGATCCAATTGAACCACGAATGTAGCACGTCCCTCCAGAGAGAAGGGATTTGCCCTGTGCTTCTAACGCTATCGCGATACCTGGTATTCCCTACACTTTCAGATCGGGCGACGTGAAGATGCCAACGGCAAACTCCTGGGAATAGGCGATGACGGCGACCCAGTGGTCTTCATACCAGATGACCTTGGGATCTCGAAAATGGGTACTTGTGCTGTCGATTACCGGGTTGCCGTCGTACAGCTCAAACGTGTAGCCGCCATCGAGCGAGTATGCAATGTTCTGAGTTTGTGGGCCAGCGGCGTTGGGATAATAACGAGCCAAGGTGAAAAAGGCGACGACGCCGTTGGTCTGGTCCGGGAAGAAACCAGACGTGTTGTTTACATCCACCACGGCGCTCCCGGAAAACACAAAGACGCTCTCCTCTGGTGGGAAGAGGGCGATCTGCTGGTTCTCCCAATGGTAGAGATCGTTGCTCGTCGCATGGCCCCAGTGTTGGTTCCCCGCCCCGAGGCCGGTAGGGTTGTACTGGTAGTAGAGGTGGTAGGTGCCGTTGGCGTCGACAAACATACCGTTGGGGTCATTCATGAAGCCCTGCGGCGGTGAGTAGTGGACCTGGGGCCGCAGCCCTCCAGAGTAGTTCCCTGGGAGAGGCTGCCCCGTCGGCACCGCTGGATTGACAAACGTGGTGGCATGCTGAGCACATGCAAGTGTTGCACAGGCGACTGAGATGGAGGTGGATGTCTTCATATTTAGAAATACCATTGGGCCGTGACTGTATGCTATGAAATTGGCGATGACCGAGTCCGGTTCAAAGCCCGACTTATGTATGGAGAGGGGAATGAGAAAACTAGGTGGCTGGTCCTACAATGTGCGTGGGGATGTGGATTGCCCTAGGGAAGGTGGGCTGGCAAACCCCACTCCCCACAGGTGATGTGGGTGTCTTGGTTAAGGAATTCGAACAGGCTGAATCATGTGTTATTTGGCCTAGAGCCGATGCTTTGGGATGGTAAACTGAACCGACTTTACCCCTCGATCGCAATGTTGGGGGCGGAAGAACGCAGGTATGCACGGGGCGGGCCGAAGAAACCGCCTTGTATGCATATCGTATGCTTCGTATGCCTAAGCATCTAGCTGAAGGCGACCTGGGCGTAACGTCAGTGGCGGTTAATCGTCTTGCCGGCCCCGAAGCGACGGCGAACGCGATCTTCCGTGCGAAGGTCGAGCCACCACACCCTCATTTCTATGGATAAAGGTTCCTCCCATATAGATTCGTCTGGCCGATCGAGTACACCACAGCGTACACCGCCTAAGATTCAATGTAGCAACCGAGTACCGGCAGAGATTCAGGACAACATCTGGAGCTTCTTAAGTTCTTCCCCACGCGGGGCCATGAATTTAGGTTATGGTTCCGGCAATGGCTAGCAGGTCTTGTTAGTATTTGGTGTGTAGTATAGTGGTGACTTTTTACGTTTGCACAGGTAGTTTTAGACCGACGCTGAGGAGACTCAGACCACATTAGTGTCAACTTCGCTGTACTGAGCAAGACGCAGGTGGGCGCCATTGACGCCCACACGGCCCAACTATTAGGCCGTTCCCCGCACCAAATAGCTGTGGAGAGCCTACAAGGTCAGAGAGAGCCCCCGATTCAAGGGTGGCCCTGGGGAGCAATCAATTACTGGTAACCAAGTGCCTACGAATCCAACAATTAGGGTGGGGGATGAATGTTGATCCAAACCCACCCATCGGGCGGTGTTAGTCATGGTGTCGTCCTGTACATCCATGTCATTGAAGGGGCAGCCTGGATACCTATCTAAACCAGCCGTACCTGTGGCGCTCCTCCGTCGAATTTCTAATGGTGCTATTTGACAGTCGATCAAAGATTTCACAAGCTTTAAATACTATCTTTTGAAACGCAGAACTCACCACAAATGAATCGGCGCCCCAGCTCTCACTGTTCTGTATGAAGAGCCAATAGCGGCCCCATGGGTTTTAAGGCCTTGCCAGGTTGCCTTCGACTTTCGTGCTTAACAAGGTAACGACCAAATAACCTTATGAGATGATATGGGCAGGCGTCTATGATTACCTACATGTATCAACCTAGGTATCTAAGTAGGTGCCGCCTCGACATCCAAATGGCTGAATGATGCGTTCATGGCAGCCATATCCCCATTCCAAAATTGTGAAGAATCCTAAAGCATCCTCGCTCCATTACAGACCTTGTATGACTTGGGACTACAAGCAATACCCTCATATTCATCGAACCAAACCCCCTACCGGTGAATGCTGCCCGCCCGTTGTCTCGGAACTCCAAACCGGCGCTCGCTCCGTTTCCGTTCAAGACCTGAACCCTCGACAGTAGCGTGTTCAGGCAGTGCAGGCATCCCACCAAGGCTGGCAAGGACGATCTTGTTTGTTGCGGTGAAGTCATCCAGCACCTGCAACTCTCCCAGCAGAAACCACCTGGGTATGACCAAGATCCTCAACGGTATGAGCAACATGATCAGCACCGGGAACCCGATGGCGGCTAGGGTATGGGAGATGGCAACACATGCCGCGACGGTGAGGAACTGGATGGCGATGTAGAGCCAGATCTTCCGCTTTCGGACTTGCAGCAAGGGTTCGTCCCGCTGGATGAACCGTTCTTCGGCCTGGAGGTAGATGAACTTCTGGAGAATACCGTTGGATTCGATGGAGCCCCACTGCGGAAGAGTTAGCGAGGTCATCAATCTGTCGGTTACATGTAGCCAGGGGTTCAGGGTTGACGTACACCAACGATGAAGAAGACGCCGGCAAAAACCGCAGCGGGCATGGTATGCAGTACCACCAGAAGTGGTCCAGTCATGGTTCCAATGAGAGCCAGCCCCATGAGGAAGTGGGTAACACGTTGCTCAACCACTGCTTCTGCTGTGACCACTGGTCGACGGATTTCGGTGCCCTCTCCTTCGGCTGTGGGGATTATCTGAAGTCTTGTCTTGTACACGGTAAGCGAGTCAGTATGTACAGGCGCTTGCGGTACAAGACCATTCGGCATTGGAAGTCCCAGGATTCCAGCGACAAAAGTGGTGCACCCAAGGAGGAAGAAGTCCCAGTGGAAGCCGCCAGGTTTCTTGAGAGGGAACTGGCGCGCTTGAGCCGTAATGCTGCTAACATTCTTGAACTGGGATTAGCTCTAGCTTTGGGGCGTTAACCTGTGGATGGTACCAAGGACTCACGTGGTCGTAATAGAAGAGTAACATAACCAAGAAACCAAACGGCATTGCCACAAACACCCATCCCACGTCGAGATTCCAGAAATCGATGAGCCAGCTTCGGTTCTGGGTAGGGGCGAAAGATTTCGTGACCGGGACTCGGCCAACCTGCGTGAGCTCGATCCTCCCAGGGATATGCGAAAAGCCAACCCAAAAGACGGTGCAGAACTAAACAACATCAGTTTCATGTACGATGCAGAAGACGCAAGATGGGGACAAAATACGTACAACGTAAGCATAATCGGCGAGGATTCCTCGGAATCCAGCCTGCCAAATCCTGCCATTTCCCAACTTCTCGAGGGCATATACGGAAGCAAAGTAGAGAATGGCAATCATGCAAGCCAGGTATCCAGCCGTAGACCCGTACTCGTCGAACTCATTCACCAGCTCTTCGACACCCTTGACTGCCGATATCATTAGCAACGCCGCTACTTGGCCCGACAGTAGGGATACTTACTAATGTAAATAATTCCGACATACATGCCAAAGGCTTCGCTGGAAAAGTCGGTCACGTAACGCATGTAGTCGCAGCCGTTGAGAATAGCGACGAGCCAGTGGAAGATGGCTGCCCATATCCCGGTCCAGGCCATGAATTGGGGGTAGATGGAAACATCGTAGATGCTGATGATGTCATAGATGGTAAAGTTGAAGAGAGAGATGAGGCCGGTAACGCCGACGATGGTCAGGGGCTGGGAGCTGAGCACGCTAAAAACGATGGCCGCCAGGGCGGATGAGAAGAGGGCTTCGTTGACACCAAAGAAGTCGCCGGTTCGTCTGTACATGTCGAGTGTATAGGCGATGGCCGGTAACAGACTGTGGGTGTCAGCAATGTGTTGGAGGCATAAAAAAAAAAAGGAAAAGGAGAAAGAAGAATAAAAAAAGGACAAGAAGGAAAGGAGGTGGATAGCTTACTTGACAAAATACATACGAATCGTGCTAGCAACGGTCCGGTATGTCCAGGCATCCGAGATATCGCTCCAATAGTACGGGAGTCTCCTCTTGATGTCGTGATAAATACCGCGTCCAGGCCGCAGGGCTCTCCACCGACGCCAGCCTCGGGTGCCCTTGTAAGTGTACGAGACCTTGGTCTCTTGTCTGCTCAGCGGTTCCAGCCTGTCTTCATCGGCCGTACCAGAGTCTTGGCTTGCAGGTGTGGACGAGTCCATCTTTAGACCTTGTTCCGGGGAGCTCTGGGGTGACATTTCCTCTGATCAGGTGGGAAAATAGTAAGTGTAGGGAAACATTTGGCTGACGCTGGAAAGAGAGATCACACCCAGAAGGCGCAACATCTTTTGACTTATATGCCCGTCGTTGGCCCTGAAGGAGACCCCTGTCCCGGCAGGTGTTCGCCAGGGGGCGAATATGAGCGGCGGGGTGGAGCCCGGCTTTTGCTGCCCGGGCAGAATTCTTGGTTGAGCCCCTGAGCCCCCCATTGAGCCACCACCATCGGGACTTTCTCTCGGTCTCCCTTCTTCCTCGGTGGTAAGTAAGATTGGGGAAAATGGAAACTCACACACCGATAGAGTCTTTTTGGACAAATCTCACTCATGACATACTCGACCATGTCACGAAAGCATTAGGGGAGTCGTTGTCCATCGAGGGCTCGACCCGTTCTGTATTACGATTCGACGTCTTCTTGGAGGACCCTGCCGATGACGGAATTCACAACCACAACGACAAAGCTCGCGTTGTACCGGCTAACCGGCGACCACTCATCTCGGTGGGTCATCTCGGTCGCACGAAGCGGGCTGGGGGCATCAACATGCTGAGACTTTGACAGAGACGATTCGACTTGTCAGGGGCCCGCGCAAGCGTGGAGAAAGCCCATGCACCGCCTGCGCCATCTCCAACACCAACTACAAAGCCGGAACATCCGTCACCGTCGCCGACTCTACGCGCCTCCACCCCATCCACCCCTTGCTCGGACTCACCCATCGAAAATTATCCCCGACGAAAAGGAATCGGCGGGCTCAGGCCAGCCCGGACTAACATCACAGTCATAGATGGCATCGACAGCCAGCGACAACTCCAGATTCCAGCGCGCAGCTTTCCCAAGCGGATGAAAGTCGATAATGACGCTGTCGCTACTCTCCGGGAAGCTTCCCTAGACAAGTTCGTCGGAGGCATCTGGGAGCAGATCTACGGAGGCATCGATCTCGACCCCCAAAGTATCTTGGAGCAGTGGCAAGCCGCCGCGTCCGCTGCAAGCGCAACGGACGCCCCGCCCCAAACTATCCGCGAACACCCCGCGGCCCTCAACCTTAGCACCTCCGGGCTCTTACCCGCCACCGCTTTCCCGGCCGACGTAAGCGGCTCGTTCAACCAGAGCAACATCCTCTGTCGCAAAGTTACCCAAGCAAGCCGCACCTTTCGATCTATCGAAGTGGTTGTCCAGGCCCGTTGGATCGAGCACTTTGAGGCCTACGTCAAGACCCTCGCCGCATCTAACCCCTCCACGTCAGTTACGAAGCACCGCAAAGCAGCACTGCTAGAAGCCTGCCAGGACTTCAGCTGGACCGATAAGGACCTGCGCAACCGTATGCGCATATGGAGCGGCTACAAAGAGATCAAAGACGCAGGGGGCTGGGCGGCCCTCGTCTTCGCCGGCATGGGCATCTACCGCTTCTGCAAATACCGCGTGGGCTTCGACGCCGACAGCATGCAGACGCTCCAGACCCTCCGGCCGCGGCTCGAGGTCGCCGCCGACACGCTACACCCCAACTGGCGGCGGCTGCTGGCCGTAGTCGGCGAGCCTACGGAACGGCGCTTCACGGGCCACCCACACGACTGGGTCGTCTTTCCCTGCGGCGCCGCCGTCTCCGACCCCATACCGCTGCGCTCGACTTACCTCGGCCGTGATCCGCTCTTCAGCTTCGAGCACCTCGACGAGTCCATAGTGGACGTCCACGCCTGGGGCGGCGACGATCCGCGCTACGTGCCGCCACTACCTCCCACCACCACCACAACAACAACAGCCGCGACCTACCCCAGACCAACCTCCACATACACATGCCGCACCTGCCACCAAGTCCAATCCGACGACCCAAAACTCAACAACTGCTTCTGCTTCCCCTCCCTCTTCGGCAGCGGCCCACGGGCGGCCAGCCCCGTGCAAATCTTCCGCACGTCCAACGGGCGCAACAACGGGCTGCAAGCGCTGGTGCCATTTGAGCGCGGGGCGGCGGTGGGGGAGTTTGTCGGGCTGGTGACGCGCGGCCTGCAGGACGTGGACGTGTTCAACGGGGCGGCGGGCAGTCGACCGTACCAGATCTGGCAGGGCCGGCAGGGCAACTACACGCGGTTCGTGAATCATAGTTGTCGGCCGAACGCGCAGTTTCAGAGTTTTGTGTGGATGGGGGCGGAGCGGATCGTGTTGGTGAGTAAGGGGGTGGGGGCGGGGCGGGAGGTGACGGTGGATTATTCCGAGAGTTATTGGAGGGGGTTGGATAAGATGTGTCTTTGTGGGGAGAGCTGTTGCCGGTATAGGACTAGGACTGGTGGTGTATAAATGATTCACTGGTTTAGTGGTTAGGGACTTACATATGGAGAAAGGAGGTGCCGGTCAAAACAGTTGGGTTTCACACCTTGCCTGCCACCGCTCTAAAGTCTTGGGAACAATACTTGGATGTCTTCTAATAGCGCACCTAGAAGACGTTTTAATACTCGGGGTGTAGTTCACTGCCTATACACCTGAGCTGTCAGAGATTCTCAGCTTCAAGGGTACTATATCACCCACACTCCTCAGAATCTGCGTACCGCCCGGTATCCTCTTCTTTTCTCCTGAGGACACTTCTTTCGGGGCTTGCCACAACCGACGCGAAAATATGGACCAGACCTCGACCCCAAAAGAGAAAAAGAAACAAGCCATCTCAAAGCTAGAAAAGACAACAGAGAAAAAAAAAAGAAAAGGAAAGGAAACCTGCATCTGCTTGATTTACCTCCTCCTTTCTTCATGATTTGACTGGTGTTAAGTATCTGTTTTCTCGATCTATTCTAGCTTCCTTCTTTTCAACGGGTTTATGATGTTTGTTTTATATATCACTCTTTCTTTAGTTAGTTAACTTACACGCTTTTTGTTTTATCCCGGTTTTCTCCAGCTGTGACGGAAAGCGCACCCAGGGTTGGGGTTGGAGGTGCACTTCCGCATCCGGACTAGCTCCGTTCTGGGCATGCCTTCTCGCGTTGCCAACGCGCTATCTTGTATCTTTCCTCTCTTTCTTCAGCTTTCGATTAGCAGAATTGAGTCAGCATACGCAGTGCCCTTGTGCCTCGCCTAGATGTTACTCGTCCCTCACACCAGCGGTGAAATGCCTTAATGTCAAAGGCAGCGCTGCTCAAAGATCAGATTGTAGATCAGATCTATCAATCCAGAGCAGTCCAGTCGATTCAGATCGGCCATTTCTTCAGATCAGTCGGATCAGATGAGGCACCTTACAAATCTGATAATCTGATTGTTATCTTTACCTTACTTTTGGCCCTTGGTCAAGGCGCCGAATCCCTTCATTTTGAGTGTTAATGCTGGAGAGGTGGATGAATAAGTCGGGTATTACTTTTCCGGACCAGAACACCCACTGTCTCGAGCCAAATTGCGGATTCCGCGCGTCGCTCTGTCCACTGTTTGTACGCGCGTGTGTGTGCGTGTGTGTGACGACCACTGAGGCTGATCCAGTTAAAGTTAACCCAACCTCGCAATGTCGACTGCTGCACAGAGCAGCTACGCAGCCTCTGCTACAGACGATGCCAACAACGTTGCAGCAGTCTTCCTCCCCCACCCTCGATCTCGACTGCGCACCATCGCGAAGCAGTTCCGATGAAGAGGGTAACGAGGACGAGATTGACCGGTACTACAACATGAAGGTTGGGGCAACGTCGATCCGGTTGAATGGTGGATCAGTAATAAGGCTCAGTTCCCAAAGCTGTCTCAGATGGCCCTTGACGTTCTCGCTATTCCGGCCATGGCAGCTGACTGCGAGAGGTCCTTTAGCATTTCCAAGCTTACTCTGAGCTCCCAGAGGCATGCAATGAAGTGGGAGACTATCGAGATGCTTCAGATGCTGAAGAACTGGCTTAGGAACGGCGATATCGTCATCGGAGGAGTCATGATGCGCAGCAGGCCGGGTTGGGGATCGATTAAGGGGCAGCAGGGTTAACTACGAATAGTTGCATTTGTATGTCAGTTCAGTCCAGTTCAGTCCAGTTCAAGGGCCGAGGGAATCAATCAGTTCAGATCAAGAGGGTCTGACTGATCTGACTGATCTGAGAGCAGCGCTGGTGGGCTTGCTCTCGTGGGGTGAGCCATGGGCTGCGGCCTCGAGATCGCGTACGACGATCGTTTGCAGGTAGTTCTAAATTCAACCTTGAGTAGAGTTGTGTCCCATGGGTGGAAGGGGTCAGCGGAATCGCTGAAGGGGTTTGTGAATAGATCTTGGAGGAATCTCATGACATTTTCCGAGCAGGGCAACTCAGATGCTGCCATGTTTATCAATTGGGACGCTGGGATGTCTGGGATGTCAGATGTAGGGGAGACTTATTGGGTACCTAACAAGACTTGCTACTGGGTTTAACTGGTCGAAAAATGATCGAGTTTCGAAGCGCAGATTAAATAATTACGTTATTTATGGGAACCAAGGAGCTAGTTAACAGAACATCAGGTTTATTATTCAAGAACATTCAGTTCAGACACTGGAGTGTAAACTGACAAAATCGTTGCCCATTGTGCGGCTCGAAGACTTGGCCGACAACAAACAAAGAAATTACACCACGCGGGCATCGTCGCTGAGAAAAAGAGGCGGAAGGTGCCAGTATTTCACCAATAGAGACATACGTCTCGGGCAGCTACACGTAGGCAGGCCGCTAAGGAAATACGCGCGAGAGACCTCTACCATGGACGGCAATATTTCGACCTCCTTTGTCACCTAATACACCCACAGTACGTAGCATACACCTCTGAAGTGGTTGCCCGTTCACGAGTTATGGTAGCAGGAAGTATCAGGAACCTAAGAAAAGACGATGACGAGAGAAGAGAATGGGTCCAAAACGGCGTCATCGAGAGTCAACGAACAATGGCGACTACCTATACGAGACGCCCAGCTTATTTACGTTGTCTTGGACGTGTAGTAACCAACATCCCCATGAAGCGAGACGTAATGTTCCCAGCTTGAATGTGCCGGGGTTAAGTCTGGGACTGGGATACGCAAGCGCACAAGGCAAATGAGTCACCGAGCCAAGAACGTTCCCCCCCTAAAGGTTGCTCGGTTCCTGTCATCGCACTGCTCTCTCCGGCGCAGGTCCGGGGTCATCGCACTTGGCCGACGAGCAGTCCGAGCCTACCAATTGTTGCCTTTTGACCGAGAGATGTTGCCATTTTGAACTCTAAAAGCCATGGGTGGGTTGCGAGGCCAGGGGTTAAGTCGCCTCTAACTCGAGGACCAAACTTGAGCTTGGTGATAGTTTCATGCCGACCATCACAGCGCTAGATCCTACCCAACCGCCGTGACAACCCTCTCCCTCCCCCTCATGATAAGCGGCGAAGTTCGACATATGCCTCGGACTATGCTACCCTCATCATGTATAAATAGGGGCCTTTCCTTCCTCCATCTTCCAAAATAAGACCACTCGGCAGCACTCCGCAGAAACACACCCCAACACCCAACTCTACAATCTTCCCCACCACGATGAAAAGTGTCACCGCCATCCTCTTTACCCTCGCCGCGCTGGCCTCTGCCGCGCCCAACCCCAATGCTGACGCCAACCCAGCACTCCTTGCCACTCGGCAGACCTGCACTTACAACTGCCTCTGTCAGGAGGACGACGAGGGCGACGAGACCGACCCCAACACGGGGCCGTGCTGCGTCGCCGGCACGCTCACCAACGACGGCACGGTGCGTTTTCCTTCCCTCTTTGCGCTCCTCTCATGCCCTCCCCGCATTGAGCGTTGGGATGGTGCCCTACCGTACCTGTAACTACCGTAGTACTTAGATAAGACATGTGCGATGAAAGCTGACCGACCTCGCCGGAACAGATCTGCAGCGGAATGACCCACGCCGCCGCCGAGACGTACGGCCTCTGCTGCGGCCGTAGCGGCGGTTATGCGTGCTTCCAGAGCGCGCCTAGTTGCCCCCCCGTCACTGCTATAGCCCCATAAGGAACTTAAGAGAAATGTGTGTCTGTGTAACTCGTGGTCGGGGAGTGGGTATCATTACTTGATCAAAGATAAATACCATACCGAATGTACCAGTCCGAGCCCTAGAAGCGGCAGTCCTTTGTAGAAGCATGTGAGCTCTATTGGTGGCAGGCCTCTCTCGTTTCAAGCCATGACCATCGTGTGGAAACTGTGTTGGCTTAAGGCCTAGGCAAATGCACTGTGTACATACATCCATCTGTGTTTAGTCACGCCGCCCTCGACCCGAACATGGGTTTTGTGACGCGACTTGCCCCCAACCTTCCTACCTAATTGGCACCTTCACAACCGCTCACCCACAACCAACATTGAATTCTCTACCAGAATCTCTCTTTTCTGTTTTCGCAATCTCCAACTAACAACAATGGCGCTCTCTTCCATTTTAGCTGCCGTGGAACCGACTATCCTGGACATCTGCGAGGCCTCGGGGGTTGCTGGGCTCTCCTACGGCATTTCCCATGCCGGCGAGACTCATTTTGGGAATTTCGGCTTCCGTAACGTACTGGAGAAGCTGCCTCCGAACGAAGAGACAATTTACCATCTCGGATCCCTTACCGAGTTCTTCACAGCCGCCGTGGTGGGGATCCTGGTGGAAAAAGGGCAGCTCAACTGGATGGCCCCAGTGTGAGAGATATTGCCGGAGTTTGAGACGCCGGGAAGCCCGACGACTGGAGCCGAACTGACCCTGCTTGATCTTCTCTCCCACCGGACTGGATGGGCCCAGAAACTCGACATCTGGCTCCAGGGCTCGAACCATTTGCTCATTCCAAAAGAGGACACCATTCGAACTTGCGGCTACCTGGAGCAGGTCAAGCCATTCCGGTCCCAGTATCAATATAACAACTGGGGCTATTGCCTGGCCGGTGAGGTCATAGAAAGGGCTACGGGGAAGAGCTACGGATCTCTGCTCTCGAGCCAGATTCTAGAGCCATTGGGCTTGGATCGCACCATCATCGATGCAAATTGCAGCAACCCTTCCAACGTGGCTAAAGCATACATGCCATTGGACGACAAGACACCGTGGCATGTTCCGCGGCCGGAGATTCAGGGCGGGACGCTCATGGGACCGGCGGGCGGGCTCCGCAGTTGTGTCAAGGACCTCTTTGAAGGTGTACGAGAACCTGCTCGCCGCAGCCAACCATCAATTCGCCGAGAACGCTTCCTCCGCGCCGCAGTCGCCCTTCAAGCAATTTCAGACCATCATGACTGGCCACATGCCCATTTCGCACTCAACGCCGCGCGAGAACACGTACGCCCTCGGCTGGGCCCGTACGCAGCTTCCCGGACCTTTGGGGGCTACTGGTTTGAATGGGATGTTCGTCTCCGACATGCCGACGGTAAGGGCGGGCTCTGAGTCTCGCCTCGTGCTGCACCATCAAGGGAGCATGCCGGGTTTTACCTCTGCTGCTTTTCTATTTCCTGACACTGGAACCACTTTGGTTGTCCTGAGCAACTCACTTCCACTAAACGATGCAGTGGACTGGATCGGACAACTGCTGATGGAAAGCATATTCGAAACCGAAGGGGGTACTGATTTTGTGAAGCTCGCGAAAAAGAGCGCGAAGGCTCATATCATGTACTGCAAGAAAGTTGGGCTCGAACTCGAGGCGCTCAAGAACAGCGGAACTCCAGCAAGCAGGCCTTTCGAAGACTACGGCGGGGATTACTACAACTCGATCGGCAACCTTTGCTTGCAACTCAAGCTTGAGGGAGGGAAACTGACCTTGGTGTTCCAAGGTCTCCCGGGCGAAGCATACACACTTCATCACCTTGACTCGGATACATTCCATTGGCATGTCCCTTACAATGAAGATGTCCAGCGAGCACGGTTCACCGTCATGGATGCCAACTTCTACCAGATCAAATTCATGGCCGGCACAGGGGGCACTATCGGCCAGCTTGTCTGGGCCCACGAACCGGACATCCCTGAAGGAGAAGTCTTCACCAAGAGAAAGCGAAACGGCTGGTAAGGAGTTCATCCGTTACGATCTATTTGAAGGGAGGGGAAATACTTTTGCAGACAGAAAAGTATCACCTAGTCAAGTTCAGTACTCGACCGGAAACACTCAGGGTATCAGGCTGGCTTCCTTCCCTATTGGCGCTAGGACGGCAGTGGGACCTCCTAGTCTTTGTGAGAATGGCATCTCAATAAGTCGAAGCCCCTGCTTACCGGGCCCCCCCACATACCGTTATTGGTGTAAGCCGTTGATGCCCGACCCACCCAACAACTTCAAACAACAACCACTTTACCACTTCTATTCCTTTACACTTCTTATTTGGTATACTGATTTTTCAATACAAAATGAGCAGTTATACCGAAGAACAAGTTCTCCAAGCTCTTTCTCAGTTGCAAAATGGCCGTTCGTTGGCTTCCGTTTCAAAAGAATGTCCATTCCTAGGTCTACTTTACAAGGCCGTCTACAGGGAGCCTATCACGGGTGGGAATGCCGTGGTAGGAGTATACTCGTGTATTGCGCGGTTGCACGAGGAACCGAAAGTGGGAGGCTGTGACGGCAGCTGCCGTCGGAGTGCACTGTGGCTCCACTTGGTTGGGCACGTGACCACACGCGCTGGCATTTAACTTCTGTATCGCGAGAGCTCTTCCAGCTTCTCTTCCTTTTCTCCCCATCTTGCAATTAGCAGAAATAGAGTCTCATCGGCAGTGCCCTCGCGCCTCGCCCAAATGTCCCTCGTCTCTCACAGAGGCGGGGCACGCTCAGGGAAAACCCTGCTCGTATCTGCGCACAGGCCACACTGCGCGGTGCCCCACCTATGCTGCGCGCAGAGCCCCCACCCTGCAGGGGCCCACTTGGCCCGTCTGTAGAACCCCAACCCTAACTACATATAACAACCCTAACCCTAAAAGGAACGGGCTGTGCCCGTGACAGAAGTAGAACTTTCTGGAATACTACCGTTGGGCCCGGCTGGTTGGTTTAACTACCTTAAATATTCTGGCTAGGTGGAAAGCGACTGGGTTGTTGTCACGGTTATGGCCGCCTGCAGCCGGCCGGCGGGGGTACGCTGGCAGTATCCCGAACCAATCATTGGGGAGGACTACACGGCCAATGAGACAGCGGTCCCATCGCTCATGAAGGGCCATGCCAAGAGAATGAGCAAGTGCTCATTCTGCTCAACAAGGGAGCTATGAGCACTCTGAGCAACCCGTGCTCAGAATGCTCAGCGACAGGTCCCTGAGCACTTTGAGCACACTAGGATAGCCAGTATATAGTCACTCGTTCTGGAGAGCTCTGGGAGTTCTCCAGTTAGCACTCACAACTACAGTTCGCTACAAGCTCGAGAGCCTACTGTTGAGACAAGTCTTTGTTGTGCACCCTTTGGCTGCACCGAACCTAAGCACCCTTGAGAGATTACCTTCAACCGAAAGCTGAACCTTAACAGGACAGGGTCCTGAAGTAGGTTCGTCACAGTTGTAGCCGGTTAATATATCGAAGCCCCTGATGAACCGGTTATTATTGGAAAATACCGAAGAGTCGGCCACCCACCTTTTAGAAACGGAACTAGTACCAGGGTCGGTTATTCCAAGTCCTAAAGCAACAAAGGAAGTGGTTCAACCATTAGATTTAGAGCTGTAGGTTACCCCAAAGAAGACGGTTGACCTGCGTCGATAGGTAGTGGATTTCAACCAACAAACCGGGGCCCCCCGCACCCAACGACAACTGTTTCAAAAGATTGAAAAGGCCTTCGGTCAAATGGACAGTACCTTGGCTATCGGGGAGGCCGAAAACCAGGTGCTGCGTGCTCAGTTGGAAGCGACAAAACAGAAAAAACGGAAGAGGGTAGATAGCAACCCAAACGAGCTGTTTGCAAATATTTCGGCTGTTCGCAGGGCACAGATTGTAGCAGGGATAGTGGAAGTGTGTTAGGTAGATAGTTCGGAAGATTCTGATTCTATTGATGGTAATAGTTGTATAGTTGTAATTGACTTTGTGGTTGTTGTCTGACTGAACATGACGGTAAGTGGGGGGCCGGTAAGCAGGGGTCTCGACTTACCTATCCATAGCAAAGTAGCCAACCGCGTGTGGTCACTCCCTCCATACATGCTCATCCGGCAAAGATTTATCCAAGATGTTTTATGCTTGATCAAGTCATCTGCCAGCCGCCCGATGCTTCCGTTGCCGTTGAGAACCTTGACTGAGATGGAACAGACGTTTCCTAACGATGATACCAGTGACACCAATGCATGTTGCTTCAACAAGTAGTAACTAGTGGTTTCGTGCCATGTATCTCACATGCACCTCCAGTGCTTCCCAAGCCTCGAAAGTTGAGCCGCGAAACCATGCGCAGCATCCAAGAAGACGCACTCTGTATTTTACTCGTACCGCTGATAGGTTTTGCGAAACAAGACCATCTCTGTGTGTACACGCCTGATAAGTCTCATCGCCTACACTGTTGACATGATGAGGGGCAACCCCTATCAAAGGATACCGGGTCCGTAGAAAGAGGTCGCCGTCACGTATGTAAATGCGGTACGAAATGGAATTGTGTCGTGGATAACAGAAAACATTAAAACATCAATATCCGGACCCCTCTCGTATCAGCAAACGCCATGCTAAAGACAGTATCATCAAAACGTCACAGCCCAGGTACCTATGTACAAGCAACAACAAAACCTCAAAACTAGCAACAAGTCCCAAATGCCAACAATGAACGCCCTCCAGAAATCACTGTCTAAACCAACCTCCAAATCACATCCAAAACAACATTCACTCATCACAATCATCACGCCCACCCCACAACTAAAACATCCCCCCCTCGCCCAAAACCCCCTAACCCCTCCTCCCCGGCGTCCCGGGACTCGAAATCGCCGACACCGGCCCCGCACTCGCCGGCGTGCCACCATGCCCCTGTTGCTGATACGAATGCATACCACTGACATTCCGCCCCGCACTGCCCGGGGTAAGCGTGACCGCGCTCAGCGGACTGACCAAATCATCCATGGCCTCCTGCTGGCCCCCCGCCACACCACCACTCCCAGCGGCAGCGCGCAGCCCCGTCCCCCCCGGAGGCGGCAGCACGACGCGCATGTTCACGGGCGCCTTGGCGACGTACGCCGCGGCGATGTTCCCCGGCAGCGGGCCGAGAGTATCCCGGTCAGTGTTTGTAGTAGTGGTACCGCGAGTGCCCGTATCCTTGGGCGCGTCGCGCTCGAGGTCGGTGTTCTTGATCTCGGTGCGTGTGGGCGCGCTACCGGCGTTCATCATCATGATGTTGGCGTTGCCGGCGTGGCCGCCGCTCAGGCTCATGGCCATGGCCAGCGTCATCTCGGTGCTGGCGTTGGTGCTGCTGGCGCTGCTGCCCTCGGTCATGCTGTCGGGCTCGCCTGACAGGAAGATGCCGATGCCGTGGCCCTGGGGGGGTGTGACGTGGCTTTGGCTTTGGCGGAAGACCGGGGGTTGGTTGGTGCCGCGCGTGTTGTTGCTGGTGCTGTAGTCGTCGTAGGGTGGCTCGGCTTCTTCGGCGATGGGGTCGAAGGCGGGGAGGCTGGGGAGCTGGGGTGCGGCGCTGGGGACGGTCAGGCCTGGGCTGGAGCCGCTTGGGATTTTTGGCGTGCTGCGTGGGGTGATGACGCCTGGCATGTTGGGGCTGGGGATTACTCGGGGAGAAAGGGGAGGGAGATCAGCGACCATGGCGGAGGCCAGGCCGATGGCGACAGGGGAGGTCGGGGTCGGTGGCGGTTGGAAATTGGCAGGATGCTTGATGACGGCGGCCGTAACATTATTGTTGTTGGTTGGCGGAGATGTAGTTCGAGCGACGGTGCTGGCAAAGCGGCGAAGGCGGCTGCCGAATGAGGGAGATGGCGCTCCAGCGTTCATGCTCGGTCTCCTCTTGTGGCCCTGAGCAGCTGGTCCGGTACCACCGCTTCTTTTGTCTACTTCCTTCTCCTTTTCCTTCTCCTTCTCCTTACTTTTCTGTGTCTCTTTGGTGGGCTGGGGTTTGAGCTTGGAGGCGATAAGTTCAAATTGCTTTAGCATCGTCGGGTTCTCGACGATCTCTTCCATAGCAATTTGAAGATTGGCGTCGGCCCCCGGCAGGTTGACCCGGGGAAGCTCAGCGTTCAGACGCCGCATAATCTGGGATGCCGGAATGAGACTCCCCCACAGATCAAAGAACGCCGCGTTGTGGATTTGTGCCTCGGGCACGCCAAGCGCGCTGGGGTTGAGGATCGAGGTCCAGGTGTCCCGAATAACCATCTGTACCGCCTCGACCTGTTCCTTGCTCAGAGTGTTCATGATGCTGTCCGTCTCCGGGTCCTCACTCGCGGTCGGCTTAGGCGGCAGCGGGATCCTTTTGACCATGCTCCGGTACTGGTAGCCACACGGGATAACAGGCTGCGTGATGCTGACGCTGGTCAGGAGGCTGATGGTCGAACACAACATGCGGAGTGCGTGTTCCGCAAACTTTTCGGTAAGACGGTCGGCGCAAAAAGAGATGGAGATTTCGACACGGTTTGTTGGGCGCACAAGAGACTTCACAAACAAGTCGGGCATATCCTGGGCCTTGGACTCGTGAATGGTGAACTTGCAGGAGGCGGCGCCAAGGTGGAACGACTTGGGCTCCGACGGATTGATGGCGGTGTCTTCGTACTGGTGCTGCACCAATGTGCTGAATCGAGTCCAATATGGCCAAGGCGTGCACTTCTCCACGATGGCCAAAGATCCGAGATTCTCGAACGGGATGCCCGACATGCGCTGTGCATGGATGTACTGCAGCAAGTTCAACGGGGTCAGTGGAGTATCCGGGAACTGAACTCGGACGGGCGTGGCGTTGATGGTGGGCCCCATCACACCAGCGACTGAATGGCCTCCAGGAAGCCTGACATGACGGCCATCGATGAGTTCTCCGAAGACGACGTCGGAAGATGCCGAGAGATTCGCAATGACCATCGCCCAAGCAGCCTTGAGGACCGTCTCAAAGGATATCCCCAGGCTAGAGAGCGAACCCAGCGAGAGCGCGGGGTTCCGAACCGTCTGGATGTTTGTCGACATGTCATATGGTTGCACATGCGCGACGACCTGGGTTACTTGAGAACCCTCAAGCAAGGCGCGCCAGTACTCTTCGGCCCCGTGGGAATTGGCGGTTTGCGCGTTACGCATAAAGTCGCAGAAGGTTGGCCGGCGAGGTGGCTTTTGAGAGCCATCGTACAGCCTCTTGAGGTCTTTGACCAACAGGGCAACGGATAGATCATCGTATTGCGCCTTGGATAGCCGCAAGATGAGGATCGACTGCTTGCTGCCGTCGAGAAACATGAACTTGGTGACCGGATTCTCGAATCCAACGGCCGTGCTTTGGTCCTTTTTGATCACCTTGTCTAGCATGTTGGCTAGCCGCCATGTCGGGCAGTAGTGCCGCCGAAATTCGATGCCGCTGGACTTGATGACGGCCTGGTACACCCGGCGGTTGTGAGGGACAAATGCGGTGCGTAGGATAGGGTGTATCGTTGCCAGCGTCTTGCAAGCCTCCTCTAGCTTCTTCGAGTCAACGGCCCCGGTGAAATTGAAGATGAGATAGTTAATGTTCGTCCGCCCTCGAAGCATGCCGGTCTCGATGTACCGAATCTGTGCCGAGGAGGCCTCGGCTGCGTCGGCGATGACACTTGCATCGACGCCGACCCCCGGGGCAATTACCTTCTCGATAAAAACCTCTTTAATCGCGTTCGGGTTCAGAGGCACCGGTGACGGTGAGGTGGTTGGAGGAGGAGCGGGAGAGGCCTCTTGCATTATTTGTGGCGAGTCCACGCTGACGATGGCCTGACTGAGCTCTGTCAACGTCGCGTTGCGAAGCACGTCGGCAATTGAGAGAGCGATATCCTGTTGCTTGCAAACCGCGACCAACTGTGCGGCTGCGATATCGTCTCCGCCAACGCTGAAAAAGCTGTCCACAGCTGAGATCTTGGCCTCCTCGACACCCAGGACCCTTGCCCAGATGGCCCTCATTTTCTCCTCACCTTGGGTCAAGGGCAACGGTTTGAGATGTTGAAAGCTAGGTTTGTTTGGCACGCTGGCCAAGGCTACAAGATCCTCCTTGGTTAAGCCGGCGATCATCTTCTGCAGCCGTCGCCGGTTGACCTTGAGTGAAGGGGTGATGGGGAGGTGTTTGACCGGGACAAAAGCCGAAGGGATCATGGACGGCGGTAACGTGTTTTTCAGTCCCATTGTAACCAACTGCTTTGCCAGTGCAAGCTGCTCCCTGGTTGTTGAACTCAGTGATGCGAGGGTCTCATCGTTGCCGAAACGGTCGCCGAGCTCGATGAAAGCCGTGAGAACGGTGTCGTTCTTCGCCGGCCCCCGAAATATGACCGTCTCGACAACAACATCAACTCCCTGTCCGAGACAACGGCGCAGGTACTGCTCGATCTCCGTGAGATTGAGAACCTTGCCATCCTTGTCGATGTCGTCCCGCTTGCTTGAGATGAATTCCATAAGCCCCTTTTCGGTGTACCGCGCACGATGCCCGGTCTTCAAATACCGCGCTTTGCCCGCAGAAGCAGGTCCAAGGGGTGACAAGGGGGTCATGGTCGACTCCCGGTTGGGATACGAGAATCCCAGCGTCGGGCCCTCGACCACCAATTCTCCGACCGCTCCGACCGGCACGCGCTTCTTGTGGTCCTCCGGGTTGACGATCAGAAAATTTCCAGCGAAAGGCCGCCCGATACTCTTCAGGTGCTGAGGACCGAGCGCCTCGAGGAAAGCGATCCCCAGAGGGCATACATCTTGCGATCCATACGCCAGCACAACGTTTGCTTTCCCGTGCCAAATGTTGTACGTGTCGTCGTCGAGCCCCCGAGTACGAAAGCAAACAACTTTGAGTGACGGCAGAAGCGTTGGGTCCACCTTTCTAGACAGGAGTGGTGTCATGTAAGACCAGTTGACTTGCATCCTGTTGGCGGCAGCGCTGAAATCTTGCAGCCTCTCCGCCGCGGAAGGAACACAGACGCAGCCGCCGTACGCGAGTGTGGTGAAGATCTCAGTTATGCAGATGTCGACGTTGAACGACGAGAGCTGCATCACGCGGCTAAGGGGCGATATCCGTGCGGCCGGCCCTTGCCCCATGAGAGACGTGGATAATGCTGCGTGACTGAAGGTCACTCCCCTGGCATCGGTCGAAGATATCGGCACAAAGAGGATGCATGCTGGATCACTTGGGGCGGCCATTGAAGTTAACGGCCCTTCGCCTCGCGGCAGGACGTTCATCAGATCGTCAGTCAAGACGACCACTCGGTCAAAGAGATTGCTGAGAACCGGGGCGGCAAGTTCTGACGAGATGGCGATTCTAGAATTGAGGCGCTCAAAGATGGGTTGGATCATACCAAGCTCTAGCGAGTCGACCGGGACAAACGCGGCACCAGCCCTAAAAGTAAAAGGTTAGGAAGTTAAGGGGCGCGTGCCGTGGGTTCAGGGCACTCACTTCAGCACAGCGACCATAGCCACGGGCGCAAGTTTGCATTTGTCCATCACGACTGGCACAACAGAGTGGGGCCCGACACCGGCGTCGACGAGATGATGGGCGAGCCTGGTCGCCTCCTCTTCAAGCTGCAGGTAAGTAAGGGACCCATCCCAGGAGCAAATGGCTTGTGATGACGGTTGTATGGTGGCCTGCCGTGAAACCAAGTCATGGACCACGTTCTGCGCTTGCTCCTCCACCTCAGGCGGCGACTCAGCCTCCCAGGCGAGTATCTGGGCGAAGTCCCTGTCACTGAACAGGTCAACCAGACCGACGGATGTACTGGGAGATGCCAGGATGGCACGGATGGCTCTGCCAAAGGTATTCGCCACGTTGACAGACTGCTCCGGAGACATCACGCGTTGCCCAATGTCCACTGTCAGCTTGCCGGCTGTGAAGCGTGTGTTAACCACGATGTCCACATCGAAGGTCTGCTGCAACGAGATGGGTTTGAGCTCGGAAGTCGTCCGCGTAGTGAATTTGCTGTTCAGCCCCGCTGGCTCTTCGGTGAATGTCAAACAGGAATTAAAAAGGCGATCTCCGCCCTTCATCCCCATACCATGCTGCAGCTCGGCCAATGTGAAGTGCTGATGGGGGAGGCAAGTGAGGAGTTGTTCTTCAACCATCTGCAGCGCCGCAGCCACTGGACTGTACGTCGCCAATTCGTATGCACACGCTATGGTGTTCGAAAAGGAGCCCACGGCATGTCTCATTCCCAGTATTGAGTCGTCCCGCCCGACTGTTTGGAACCCGAAGCAAACCTGGTTGGAGCCGGTAAAGCACCGCAGGATGAGGCCCCATGCCAACCGGAGAATGGCATCGACTGTCGTCTTCTGCGTGCGGGTAAATCCGGATAGCTGGTACGAGGTGATGTCAAGTTCAACGCACGTGTTTACAAACCCGAGTTCGCCGGGCAGTATGGTGAGGCGGGGGAAAAGGCAAGGGGGGACGCCTGCCAGCTTCTCGCGCCAAAAGACGAGGCTGCCCTCTTGCCGGGCGGTTTTCAGGAAGTAAAGATAATGCGGGTAGGAGAACTGGTCGGCCTCGGTAATGGCACGTTCCGTAGCGTAAGCGCGACGCAAGTCGTGGAGAAGGACGTGGATGCTCAGCGACTATACCACCTGTCAGCCGGATAAAACTCTGGAAAACCAGATCGGAACCCACATCGCATAGTGCTGTACTAATATCTAACTTCACGAGCGTCCTGGTAGGGGCCTTGCAGACAGTGAGCCTGTGGAGCGGCTTGCTTTCCGTAGGCCGCAAGTTCGGCAGGTTGCTGAGCTCATAAACAGGGTCCTCGGCGGGGGCTGTGTCGATGAACAGCATCTCAGGTGAGGTCCGGCGGAGGATGACCTTGTCCCAAAGGCCCGTTTCGGTGACACTCTCGGTGAAGATGGTCCTCAGTGCCGCATGCCTCATGGTGACCTGCTGCCACGCGGTGCATATCCTGGAGATGTCAATGGGATCACCAGTTGGGGACGCAAACTCGTAAATGGCATGTAGATAGCACGCGTCCGGCCGCTGCGCCTGGCTGATCAAAATGCTTTGCTGAACGGCGGTAACTGGGTAAATTGTCTCGACATCTCGGACGCTGGCGAGCTTGAGAGTGGCGACGCGATCTTTGTTAAACTTATCAAGGCCCTCGTATGTCACGTCGAGGTGGGGAACGTCTGCTTGAGTCAGCTCTTGTGGGTGGTACCTGAGCTTGCCGATAGCCTCGAAGAGGAGATGCTCGTAATTCTGAACCCACTGGGTGATCCGGGCCTGGTCCTTTGAGAAGCGGTTGTAGAGAAATTTGATCTTGGCACTCCCCTGGTCAACCATGGCGCTGACCTCAAATAACGCAACCCGGCCCACGTTCGCCCCAATGTCCGATGTCCTTGACGCGAGAGTTCGGCCAGGGATCGGAAGTTGCTCCATCACTCCATTGTCACGCTCCAGATGCTGTAACGAGCCCGCATAGCTGAAGATGATCTCGAACGGCCAGTCTTTGGCTGCCAAATCCTCCTTGTCATAATGATAAAATCTAGAGGCAAAGTATTGGCCACCGCGCGCTGGGATCGACCGCCGAGTGTCCTTGAGGTGACGCAACACCTTGATGAAGTCGTCCGAGATATCTATTTTGAGGCTGACCGGGCAGAGCGATGTGAACCAGCCGACAGTCTCGGAGATGTCGAGATCCGGGTTCCACGGGTCTCTACCATGCTCCTGATTCCATACGGCGGGCACCGGTCTGTCGTGAAAGGTCTGGGCAAAGGAGAGCATGAGGGCGGCCAGGTAGACGTCAACAGAGTCGGTTTTGAAGACCTGGTTGCACGAGCTTTGAAGAATGGTGGTAAGTTCCTGGCTCAGCGAGAAGCTGACCTCGGCCGCATCTCCGTACGTGTTTGGCGTGTCCTGGAGGCCCCAGTAGGCATAATCACCTGGCTGAAGGGCGAAAGGAAGGAGGTCCTGAGGGTTTGGGCCCAGAGCCTCTGCTTTTTGGAGGTCCACCCACTTGTGAAAAGGCATGGACCTTTGCGACAGCAAGCTTCCGTTTTCCAAGAGTTCGTCGAGGTCGTGAATTATGGTGCGCCAGGAGGGGAGGTCAACAGCAAGGTGGTGCGCAGCGACATACACTAACTGTTGCCCATCATTAGTAGTAAGGTAGTCAACCGCGAAGATCGGCCCGGTCTCGACGTTGATCGACATTTGCGTGCGTTCGATGATGTCTTCCAGCTCACGCTCAGAACGGATTGAGGTGTGGCTCAATGTGTAGGAGCCGGTGATCTCAGGAAGAACTCTTTGTACCCAGCCATTCAAGCCCCGGCCAAAGCGAGACCTGAGCATGGGGTGATGGGCGACAACAGCCTCGATCGCGGCCGATATGTCCTCAAAGGAGAAGAGTTTCTTGAGCCGCAAGAGCAGGCTCTGGTTGAAACGGTAGCTCCCGTCAAGCGCTGGCCTCCGCCTCAAATCGCCGCCCATACCCGTTTGGAAGTACAGATGCTGCATCGGCGAGAGATCGAAGCAGTCAGACGTTTCCTCGTCCCATTTATGCGCCAGGCCGCCCCGAGACGCAGCAATAGCGGCGAGTTCGGAAAGCGTCATAGACCCAAGAGCATCAGAGGGATTTATGTAAATGGACTCGTGTTTACACCTGGCGGCGAGCTCCATGGCGGTCATCTCGTCGCCGCCGAGCTGGGAGAAGGAGAAGTTCACGCCAATCTGGCCCTGGGGAACATCCAGCACCTTGCTAACCAGCCTCTGTATTGACTTTTCCATGCCCGACTCTGGATTTTGTAACGTCTCCTGGTGTTCCAGGCTCAGGGCTTGGTGGTAAACGTCCTCGTTGATGTTCTGGGCCCAGGTTCGCAACCGCCGCATGTCGACATCGCCGGCCTCGGTAAGAGGCATTGCGTCCAAAACGATCCATATATCCGGGATGGCTTCGGGTGAGAGGGCTGCCTCGGCGGCACGTTTGAGACGGGCGACTTGGGTACCGGCGAAGAGAGCGTGTGACTGGGGAATGAGGTTGACCGTCGTCGGGTTTTCCTGTGTTGTTTGCGTGCTCGCCAGCGTGAGGAGGGCAACAAACTTCCCATCAAGCAGTCCAGCCTTCGGCCGTATTCCCGCTATCCTCCCAACCTCTGGTTGTGACCCCAGCGCATGCTCAATGTCTGTCCTCTGCCGGGGGTCCGCGTCCAAACGGGTCAGGCTCGATTTCCGAAGAAGGTGCCCATCTTTCGGCTCGGGCATTATCGACATGCGGCTCGCTCGGTGGATCTCGAGCGGTGCGATCATGACGGGCTCGGGGTCGTCGGGTTCGGAACGCGAGTGTGGGTTTTGTGGCGCGCAGGGCGTAATGCATGTTTGCAACTCGGCGAGGGTCGAACAGCGCAGGATATCTTTGACCTTGACGTCCATTCCAGCAACCATGCAAGCCTTCCTCAGCGCGACGGCATGCTGCTCGTTTCCTCCCAAATCCCTGAACGAATGGTGTACCTGGGCCACACCCGTGCTCAGACCGAGGACCTGGGTGATCAGAGCCAACAAGCGCGCCTCGGTAGTCTCGTCTTCCAACAGCAACCAGGATGTTGAAGCATCCATGTGCGGGGCAGGTACTGGGGCAGCGGCCATCGCGGCAGCGGGCGCCGTGAAAAAAAGCAAGCCGTAACTAATACACTAAAAAGGAAATAAACCACCAACAGCAACTGCAAACGCCGGATGGGTATCTCGAACAAAGGAGAATGAAGCTGGAGGTATTCAGGCGCCGGGCCGCATGGCGCAGCAGCAGCAACACCTGCAACGAGCGGCGGTTGTTGGCGCACACACAGCAAGTTTCGAGGTCGGGCTGCACATGGATAGGCCCCAGTTTCGGGTCTCGGGACGGAGCGTTGGGGAACCGGCGGGTTGGCGCGCTGTTAGGAATGCAAAGGCGCCAAAAAGCGAACAAAAAGCTTCCGGACTGGCGGGGTTTCCCTGGTGTGTGCGAGTGCGAATCTCTTGAAAGGAGTGGCCGAACATGAGGTGTAATCTCCACAGTTCGGCCGACTCGCACAGTCGCAGCCTGGCGGATGCGGATGCGTGTTGCGTCTGAACTCGACAACCGCGCCGCCCCGACAAGCTTGGCAACGACACCGAAGCTTCAATTCAGCGCAGGCCAGCCCTTGCATGGCCCCCCGTCATCAGAAACGGTGAACCAATGGAAGGGTTGCAGGGCCAAGCTCAGCCCCGTGCCCGCAGAACACCCTGGTTCAAGACTGGCTGATCGCCCGATCTGGCCTGGCTGCCGAGTAAAACGCGGGAGCGAGATGGAAGGTGCAAGATGGAGGTGCGTCAGAGCCCGCAAGGAACGGGAGGATTGAAGTGGCAACCTGGAATTTCTGTTTGAAGTCGCCAAAAATGGAGATGGGATGAGCTGGCCAGCAGCAAAATTCGGCCCCCACAGTGACCGGAGAAAGTGGGACAACTCAGCGAGCCAGACTCTCCAGACTTTGCCCATAGCTAAAAAATTGAGGACAAGAAGCCGCACCCTTTAAACAACAACGAAGACTAGGATCGGGCTGTCGGTTTTGTGACAAGGGCGAAAACGAGAACCTGAACCTGCGAATTAACCACCAAATGCTGACTCAGCACAGCTTGTCCGTGGTCAAGCATTGAAGAACGTTATCAGAAATTCAGGAGTCAAAACGGCCGGGCAACGCATGGGATGATGCGCTCGACCAGCCGTAGGGCCGTGGCTTGTGCTGCTTGTTCTCAAGGCATCACCCGCTGCGCAATCATTCATCAGCATCCATCCAACCCCGCGGCAGCTACATCTCATTCCGCCAAAGCTGCCCGATTGTCCATATCGGCTGTGGTCCGGGAGCCCGACGCAGCTCAGTAAATCTATCCATCACCTTTGTGTAGGTACTGCGGCATCCTTGATCTGGCAAACATCAATAGGACAGTTAACCCCCGCACCCCCACACAAATTGACAGTTTTCTTTCCATTGAGCGGCCCATGCGGGATTGGAACAGTGGAATGAGGGGACTCTGTAAGTGTGTAATTACATGGGATGAACAACCTCATAAAGGGGTATCAGGAAGGGGCGGAGGGCTAGCTCACGGCATGCGATGCCTTCATCTCTGCATGAATCTTGGTTCTTGAGCAACCAGATCTCAGATGCTTGTTGGTTGCTGACGTAAAACTACCTCACTCATGAGACGGATTGTGATGCAAGACAAAGTTCTTACCTGTGCGCCCTTGCCTCGTTAGTGCCCGTTAAGTACATGGGAGTTGTGGATGGGATGAGGGAGGAACTTATTGGTAATGAGGGGATATCAAATACGCCCTGCTAAGATCATCATCGTCCATGGATCGCCCATCGAAAATGGCCAAGGGGTAGTCCCTGACCGGACTTTTCAGCGGACGCCAGAGACAGGTGTAGTCACCAGGTTAGACCCATCCCCCTGGTCATTCCGGCAATTCTACTTGCTTGGTGATCTGGCGCCTGCGCAGCAGAAGCTGGAGCGAAGACTCCCGCCACGCCCAAGTGCTTCCGCAGCGGAGCCTCTGATTCGGGAAAGTAGTGTGCGTAGATAATGTTGTCAGAAGAAAAATCATCATACGTCAGGGCGGTGCTGTAGTTGACTATTTCAAATCCATGCTTGTCGAGATGGAAGCTGGCCACTGAGCCCGGGGACCCGAGATAGACGCGGTGTATAAAGCCCAAGAACATCTCCTCAGGCCTTCCTCCCCAAGACTCCTCATCAATAGGGACACCAAGGTGTTCGGCGTAACCCCGAGTTTCTCACATGAGGTAACACAACACAGACCAAAACCGGGCGCAACTGAATGGTGCCTTCCATCCCGAAAATTCACTCCGACACACCCAACCCATCACTACTTAACCTCTAGGTACCTAAGTAACACATTCCTGCTCAATAATTAAATCTCCGCCTACATCGCGTCTCCTGGCTCGGCAAACTTCCCTCACTTCAATCGACCCTCCTCGACCCCGGGCACCAGCCATCGCGCTGACACAACCAATCTCACCCCCTCGTTCCACCCATCAATTTCGACCCTGTTGGTGCAGCGGTCGGTCGAAACATCGGCAACAGCCAAAGCCTTGCGTGTTACCAGGCACAACGGTCGCAAGGCTGAGGGGAATGAGCTGCCTCCTTTGGCCCATGAACCTCATTTCCAAGAATATGAAAGCCTAGAAGAGCCTCTCGGCTCTGCATGGTCTGCAGACTGCTGCCACTTCATCTCCTGTTCAGGTGGTCGAAATTGAGGAAAGTTTTTATCAACTGGGTCCAACTTCCAAGGTACCCCAGACCCGAGTTTGCTTTCATCAATCCCATACTTCAAGTTTCATCTCTCATCTTAAATAGCCATGATGGTAATAGTATACATTCAGCCACAACTATGTGGAACCCACGGTAATCCTACCTGTCATTGTCCTTCCGTTTGTGCCGGATGGACAAGTCAGTGAAGGCGCACTCGCTGACCATTTCCGCCGCCTTGCTGAGGGGGATGATGTCTTCTGCCGCGGATTTGTCGCGACCGTAGTCGTGCAACAAAGTGAAGAGACACCCACACCGTCTCAGATTTGCGAGTCAACAGTACTTGGGAAAGATTGTCTTCCGCTCATTCGAATGAGTGTCAAGAAGGAAGAGGCCCTGCCCGCTGGGCCTTACTTCCATTACGAGATAGTGAGCTCCGAGAAGCCTGGAGATTATTCCCCGATGAAGTCGATGCTTTTGTCGCTCCTCTCCAACCTATGGTATCAGACGATGGGACGTAGATTTTGCCCGACATGTGTATTATAATAACGCTTACTAAGTCATTGATCAACAGGTTCTGTCTCCTACAGGTCTCTGGGACCTTTGGTCCTACTCTTGTGGTTGCCGTCCCTTCCCGGCTCTACTTTCCGAAGAGTTCATCCAGGCCGCTTAACGGTTGCGAATTGCCGTTAAGGATAACTTTGATATCAAAGGCATCCACACCGTTGTATCCAACAAGTCATTCCTCAAGTTTCGCGCACCAGCTACCGAAACATCGCCGGTCCTAAGAGACCTGCTAGCGAAAGGCGTAGTCTTGGTGGGTAAAGTGAAAATGACATCCTTCGCTGACCGTGAATACCCGCCTTCGGATTGGATTGACTACCACTGTCCCTTCAATCCCAGGGGCGATGGCTACTTGGTACCTGAGGGTAGTAGTTCTGGGAGCGCCGCTGCTGTTGTTGCGTACGGCTGGTTGGATGCGAGTCTCGGCACTGATAGTCAGTCCCACCATTTTCTTCACTTGGTTAGTAGCTTGATACTGAAGAGATGCTGACATCACGTATAGCGAGCGCCAGTCTCAGGGCTCCGGCAGCTGCCCAGGGTATCTTCGGTCTTCGCACTTCCCATGGAGCCATCTCAACCGAGACAGTTGTCCCTCTTGTTCCGTAAGTTCTTTTACAATACGAGTGTTGGCATTGGGTGTCTAAACGATTCGTCACGTAGCGGCTTCGATGTTGTTGGGTTCATGGCTCGCGATATTCGCCAAATGCAGCAGCTAGGGACAGAGCTACTATCAGACCAGGCTCCAGCCTCAGGTATCACCAAAGTTCGTAACAACAAAACCCCAATTATCCCTTACAGTCCGTACACCGAGTTGCTGATCTCGACAGTTCCCCAAAAAGTTGATCTACAACTCTGACTGGCTGGAAAGCCCCAACCTCCCCTAAATCAGGGCCATGTTTGAGGAGTTCGTTGCCAAGCTGGAGAAGTTCCTGGGTGTTAACAAGGCTATAGTCAACGTTGAGGAGGAGTGGACAGAAGACAACCCTATGGGCACCGGTAACACATTCGAGGAGGAGTTCTTCCGTGTGCGTGTAGCTTTTATCTATGGGGATGGATTTGTGAACCAGCTAACATGATTTAGACATACGAACGAATCCACGGCCCAGCCAGTTACGAATACCAGTCGAAGTGGGCAGAGGAGTAAGCTGAAAATTTTGGAAAAGCCCCTTACCTCCCTCCCGCGATCAAGAACAGATGGTAAGAAGCCTTTTTTTCTTTTCTTTTCTTTTCTTTGGAAACCTCCGATCTTACTCTATCCTGACGGAATTCCCAGGCCCTACGTCAAGACAATCACCGCCGAAGAGGTTGCGGCGCGTGGAAACAGGTGGACGCATATAAAAAGTGGTTCCAGTCGAAGTATCTATCAGTGGATGAAGAGACGACGTCTACTGCCATCATGGTAGACCACTGGACGTGGAAGCTGAATTATCCGTGACACCCTGAAAGAGTAAGACTGATCATCACGATATGTTACCAACACTTTCATGTACTGATCCACCTGTACTAAAACAGGACCCCGAATGCGGGCCGGAACTACGGGCTTGGCCAAGAATTCAGCCCGAGCTTCGCAGAATTGCCGGAGCTCCTCATCTGCAGTAAGTCCCGTCACACCGCGTGATAACGCATGGATTTTACAAGCGACCCGGGAAGGCGTAGGGGCTGACATATTATCAATCGGGAAGTACGACTACGAGTCTGCCATTTCCCAAACCACCGAATACGCCCCCGTGGCAGCTTCCATTATTGGCGCCAAAGGTAAGAGGCATCCCTTCTTCTCTCCCCAGCCCATATCCTGCCTGAAGAACCAGAACATTCGTGGCTTTCTAGAACTGAATCAACTGATACCCCTTCAGGCTCGGACCGAATGCTTCTCAAGTTGGCCGAGGAATTCCTCGCCTTTTCTGGCATTGCAGGCACCGTCCTCACCGGGAAGACGCCGTTTCCAGCGGAGGACAGCCGCTTGCCTCCCGGTTGGAAGTTATAGGTCCGTTAGGGAGGTACCTACCATGTTTTGGTTGGCCAAGGGAATATCGAGGCTATCCTTGTTAAAGCGGTGAAGTTGTGCTTAGGTAGCACCAATACTCACAGTGCAAAGTTTTCAGGCAACGATCGAACATAACGCAACGGGGTACCGCTCATTGTTGCGGTCCCGGGCCGGGTTCCGGGCCCACTTCTTCCAGACTGCACACACACCACTGACCCTGCGTGGGTAAAACCCCACACAGTGCCACCAGTTCTCCCACTTAGTTTGTTAGACCAGTTTTCCACAAGAATACACAGACATTGCGATCTACAGATCTTTTCGTGCCTGTATCTTCCACACTCATTCGTCCTGTATAGCGGCTATCGAGATGCACCTAAATGCTGACCGTGGCTGAGTTTCTTCATTGCAGTGCCTAGACCCCAGTCTATAAAAAGAAAGTTGCTTAGCGTCCCGCGGCTCACGGCAGTTTCAGCCAACCTGCCGAGTGCCCCGCAGTTGCCCCGCACCATTTTGACCGAAGCTGCTTTTTTTTGGGGGTTGGAAGCTGCTGTGGCACTCAACGCGGGTCAGAGTCAGCTCTCGGCAAGCCCTGTGATCCTAACTGCCACAACACCAAACGCCCAAGGCACGACATCGGAGCACTTACTACTCTCGGTTCTCTAGCCCGAGCTGAGAGACTCAAACTAGATCAATGGAGCAGAAACCCGACCCCTGCTGATGTAGAAGGAACCCCGGGCCACGCAGCTGTTGGTCCTCAATCACATCCAGGCCCTTTGGCATCAACATGTTCGGGCTACCTATTTGGCGATATAATGGAGTCCAGGGCAGGACATGCATCAGGGCCAGCCACTCATGTTATCTTCGGTCCAGTGTATTCTGATCCATTCCTCGAAGCGGGTTAATCCCAACGCCTGGCATTGCTTCTTCTGGGCCACGTGCGCCGGGAACGCCAAACTTTTGGACGGCTTCTCCCGTGGACCTGCCAGTCGTGCAGAAATTCGCAACTTCTCAATTTGTGGACCAACACAGTTATTCTCCCATCAATCCAACGGTAATTCTCGAGCATTGTCTACACTATTGTTCTCGTGCAATGGAACCCGCCGTGATTTGGGCTTCTTGTGTCGAGTGGTCGAGATCTTGAGTAAATATTGCAGTCACAGTTGACTCGAGTCGCCCAACCAACGGCCTCACCATGCAAGCAGCGCGAGTCCCCAAAACAACAAAGCAGCGCGAAATGTGGCTGCGCACGGGTTACGTGTTAGTAAATAAAACACACAGTGCCATGACCTTGGCGCTCATCCGATTTATAGCACATTTGCCGTCGCGGCCCTGTTGACCGTGGTTTTTGCACACCCGTCAAAACCATTAGCGAAGCCCGACCTTAAGTACCGGCACCAGTTGCCGGGAACACAAAGACAAAAGAGCCTCAGCCCGCTCAGATTCCGCGCAGATGGCACGTTCCACATCTCCATCTTTGAGGACCTCCACTTTGGGGAAAGTGAGTCGCATGTCATGCACTTAACTTATGGGAGGATTATTCTGACTTCTGCCTCACTCCCCAAGACGCGTGGGATGCATGGGGCCCACAACAAGACGTACAATCCGTCAAGGTCATCAACACCGTGCTAGATTCCGAGCCCGACATCGACCTCGTCGTGCTTAACGGGGACCTCATCACCGGCGACAACACCTTCCTCGAAAACAGCACCGATTATGTCGACCAGATCGTCCGCCCCTTCGCCGAGCGCGGCCTAACCTGGGCATCCACCTACGGCAACCACGACAACCACTTCAACATCTCGGGCGCGCACATCCTCGCCCGCGAGAAGCGCTGGGCCAACTCACGCACCACGCAGATGGTCCCCTCCCCAGACGGCGACGACGTGGGCGTATCCAACTACTACCTACCCGTCTACCCCGCCGACTGCACCCCTGACGACCCCCCTTCAGCACTCTCTCCCTGCCCGCCCAAACTCCTCCTCTGGTTCTTCGACAGCCGCGGCGGCTTCCGCTACCAGCAACGCAACCGCACCACCAACGCCCTCCTCCCCCTCCCCAACTGGGTCGACGCCCGCGTGGTCAACTGGTTCCGCCAAACCACCACCACCCTCACCCACACCCCCCCCACCAAACACACTGACACCCAATCCCGGCCCTCGCCTTTCGTGCACATCCCCCCCCTCCCGCCTTCGCGCACCCCTCCAAGCCCGCGGCATCCACCCCGCACCCGCCCAGCCCGGGGGCTCGACGACGACGGCCCGCTGGCGCGACAAGCACAGGGGGTGGTGCGCGGACGGGACACCCGACGCGGGGTGTGAGTACGGCGGGCAGGACGCGCCGTTCCTGGAGGCGCTGGCGGACGCGCCGGGGGGTGCTGGCGCTGTTTTCGGGGCATGATCATGGGGGAGACGTGGTGTGCGCCGGTGGGAGGTGGAGGGCGGGGGGTGAGGGTGGGAGGGTGGGAAGGGGGGAGGAAGGGGAAGGGGGTTGGGATGTTGTGCCTTTGGGGCAGCACGTCGGGGGTATGGGTGGGGTATGGGGAGGTGGATTTCGCGGGGGCGAGGGCAGGTGTGGTTGTGTCGGCCTGGGAGGGGCCTGGCGGAGCCGGGTGGGTGGAGACGTATATCCGCTTTGGAGTTCGGGCGAGACGGTCGGCGCTGTCTCGCTGAACTCGACGTATGGCCAAGGGACTGGTATCCCGCGACTCCGAATGACAAGACTAGGCTGCCAACGAGTGGTGAGCAGGAGTGAACGGCGGGATGAGTTGAGTCCTTTTCGGGTTGGACGAGGTGTGCGCGTCCCAAATGGGGTAATTAAGAGCGTTTCCAAGCCCCACGCATAATTTTGTCTGTGGTTTAAATCCCTCTTCTAAAATGCATTATTGTTAGACACATCCGGCTGAGGAGGACACTCAAAGCTGTCCTTAAAGGTCAATTGGATCATTATTGGAAAAGCATCCGGTTGTATCCTACCGGTGCACGCAGAAGTCTAAAGTGAAAAAGGGGAAGCGCTGGCAATCTCTGCAAGGGGAGAAAAATGACAAAAAAGGTGTGCGCAATCCGGGATTCGAACCCGGGTCACTCGCTATTCCAAGAGAAGATGGGAAGCGAGAATTCTAACCACTGAACTAACCGCGCTTGGTTAATTGTTGTCAAAGGCAAGCGGTAGCAGGTTAGACATGGCCATGGATGCTTTGGGGGTCGGCGGGCTCTTTCGAGAGCTCGGTGAGTTCGAAGCTATAATTGAGTAATTGCGAATAATTGCGAATAGCGGCGGCTGGGAACTGTCGGTAATGGATTGTCCTTATGGAGTGAGATTAATCGCGCTGACTTTTGTTGTGTCCGTTGCAGAGCGCCCAGCCAAGCTGCGGCGTGGCGAATCGCCAACCTCACAGCATTTTATTTTGCCAGACGTCCCATGCATCAGAAGTGGAGAACATTGATTCAGTGCGAGGTAAGTCGTCCGTAGTCTAACATCCATGCCCGGCGCAACCTGCCGACATCAATAAACACCATCCCAACACAATCGCCATAAAATATGGTCCAAACCCCGAATTACTCCCGCAGATACCCTCGCTACCAAAAAGGGCTGCAAGCCATGCACATAAGATCAGGACAGGTATGACCTGGGTATGATTCCCGCCCAAACCAACGCCTTCGAAATGCAGGACGAGGATGCGAACCAAAACGCGTCGGTAAGGAATCGGAATCACCCGGCAACGGCCGAGTCAGTCGGCTTTCCGCGGAGGCAACATCCCCCCGACCGGAACCTCTCCTTCAATAGCGGGGGAGATATTGTTGTTAGTCGCACGGCTCGGCTACTGCCGCGCATTGGCCTGCTTTGCCTGGTGTGGAAGTCAGCAACGAGTCAGAAATGGGGAGGGTCAGAGGAACAAACCTTCATGAGCTCAATCCGTGCCTTGAGCTGGCTCGTGACCTCAGCCGCTCGCTTCCAACTCTCCATGCCAGATGTCGGAGCGTTGGGGTTGGTGGGTGTCTCTCGGCCTCCCGTCCGGCTGTCAGACCTACTGCCTGCACGGTCGTTATAGCTGTTGTATCCCGTGTCTGCAGCCCTGGGTTCCTTCTCTTCCATGCTAACATCCCTCCTGAACCCCCTTGCTGGGCTGCCACGGCCGCTGCTCGCATTGCTGCCAGTATACCTAAGATCCGGACTAAGCTTGGTGCGCGGGGGAGGCATGCCCTCTCCGTTCTCTTTCTCGTCGCTCAATGTGCTCGCTATGCTCATGCGGCTTCGGTTGGTGTTGGACGCATCGCGGTAGATATCGTCGTGAGTCGGGCTCATGGTCCTGAACCCCAGGTCGCTGGGTGAACCGGGGCTCCCCGAACCGTTGAGGGCCTCGGCCTTATTCAAGGCACGCTTCAGCCGGTCGAGTTCGCGCCGCAGTCGGTCGTTGGTCTGCTCTGCCGCGTCGGCGTCGCTGCGGGCCCTGACGAGTTGGGTCTCCTTCGCCTTGATGGAGAGCACGTCCCTCGTGTGGTCCTCGATAAGGCCGGCGTTCTGGTTCTTGAGCTCTTGGATTTCGGACATCAACTTGGAACGGTCGTGCCGCGCGTCTTCCAGCGCCTTCAGCAACCGCTCGTTCGCGTCGCGAAGTTCCTCAAGCTCTGCACGCTCGATCGCTGTGAAACCCGACGCGGGTGTTGGGGATGGGGGCGCAGCGGGTATCGAAGGCGTCGCGGGCTTTGCCAGGGAGCGGCCGGCAAGACCCCCGCGGCCAAGACCTAGGCGTGAGGCCGGTTTTGCAGGTGGAGGGGAAACGGGCTCCTCCTCCTCCTCCTCCATAGGAGGGGGTGACGGAGCTGGGGCTGGCCGCCGGGGTGAAGCGGCGCCAGGAGCACCCAGGGTTCGCTTTTGGGGGGCTTTGAGACCACCGAGGGCACCGGGCTTCGGCATGCCCAGCTTGCTCACTGGACGAGGCACAGCAGCAGGCGGAGCCGGTTCCGAGGGTGCAGCCGCGGGGGCGGGCTTTTTCGCGCCGGCAGGGCCCTTCTTCAAACCGCCCGCTGGCGCTTTCTTCGCACCAGCGGGAGGAGGCGCACGAGCGGCAGGCGGCGGCGGCTTTGGCTTCTCCTTTGCCTTGACCTCGGCCGTCTCGCAGAATTCCTTGATCTTTGTTTTGCGGATTTCGTCAAGGCCCTCCAGATGCGGGTTCATGGCCCGGTCACCAATGATTTTCATGATAGTCCCGAGGATTTCGGCACCACCAGAACGGAGTCCCTCGCTCGACTCTGAAAGGAGCTTTTTGGCCGACTCGACAATCCCTGCGATCTCTTGTTTGCTGGGAACTTCCCGTGTTGTCCTCAGACACCTCACAAGGAACTTCATCGTCCCCTCCTTCACCTGGGGGTTCTTGTGTACAAGGTTTGCTGTGATATCCTCGAGACAGTCGGTGAGATTTGTCGACAGGAAGACGGCGTCCAAGGCGGCACCGAGGGCGTCGGCCACCGTTTGTTTCTTTTCCTTCAACCTCTCGATGATGGGCAGCATCACCGTCGCGCGGTATTTCGCGTAAGCCTTCCGTAGACCCTTGGCGAGGAACTCGATGCACATGGCTGCTTGCGTGACGACTGCAACGTTGGCGTCCTTCATGCACTTGGCCAGACAACGGTTGACCTCGTGAAAGTCGGCATCCTTGATTCTCGGGACGTTGACGATGGCGTTCAGGGCTTCGACTGCGTCCTTCCTTTCCTTCCATTTCGATGAGGCAAGATTGTCAAAGAAGTCCTTCGGAATCTTGCTGATGACGTCCTGTGGCTCGGCAAGATCGAACGCGTCCACCTCGCCGGCCTCCTCGGCTTCGCCGCCATCTTCCTCATACTCATCATCCGCACCGCCGGCCGGAGCACGCTCTTTCTCTGCTTGCTGTGACCTCAAAAGACGCTCTTGTTTGGGCATGCCCTCAGCCTTGACTTTCTCGAATTGCGCCTCGAGATCGGTTTGTTGAGTCGGCTTTAGATCGTTCCAGAACATGGGCTTCATCGCATCGCGGAGCCATCGGTAAAACTAAACGGCCAGGTTCGTCGCTTCAGCTCGGACATTCTTGTCTGCATGACCAAAGGCTTTGGGCAGAATCTTGAGCACGGGTTTTGGGTCTGCGATTTTGCACCCATAATTGTGGTATATTTGCGTCAAGGACGCCAGGGCCGCTGCGATGACCTTGGGTTGTTTGCTCGAGAGGACAGGGAGGATTTCTTCGATTACTGGCCCAGGAACATCAACTTCGATGAATAAGAGTAAGGCCTCCAGCGCGGAAGCCTTGGTGGCAGCTCTGGTGGAGGACAGGCACTTTTCGGCGATTGGTGTAACGGCGTGCTGCCGGGCTCGGAGCGCCCCGTCGCGACCGCCAAACTTGAGGAATGCGCAGAGTGCATTCAGTCCTTCTTGTTGTGCTGCAACATTAGAATCGGCCGCTGCTGATTTCCACAGGCTCGGATCCTGCGTAAATGGTCGAAACACCGGGTCGTCCTCGTCGGGGGTCTTCTCGAACAATTGTGCCGCCGCTTCGTATGCCGCCTTTCGGGCTTTCCACACCTGTAGTACAGGAGACGTCAGTGGGGCCCCGGACGATAAGGCAAGCGCAAGCATACCTTGTGCACCCAGCGGTCGGTGAGGGGCAAGGAACTATAGTCCTCTTCTTCGGCCATGTTGGGCCTGTGTCTGCAGAGAGCAGAAAAGAGATTCCGGTGAGCGGCACCAAAGCCGGGGTGCTTTTGCTTTGCACGGGTGGGGTGGGCGGTCTCGGAGTGTCGTTTGCAGCCTAAACTTGCGGTTTTCTTGATTAGATTCCGTAAACAATAGCGCGGGCGACGGCCATTCATAGCGCTGTGAGAACGGAGAGGCCAGAACAGCAATAGCAGCGAATAGGTGGCGGCGCGCTTTTCTTTTGTTGGAGGGGGGAGACATACAAGAAGACGGTCAGGCAAGTTCGCCAAGTCCAGTTGCGCGGGTTTGTTGCGGTGAACGAAAGCCAGACGATCTGGTATCGATGGTTCTTGCCCCCAGGAGGTTGTATTCTTTTTATTTGTGTAGAGGAGGCGCGAATGTTTGAGGTAGGTTTTTGGCGATCGGGTGGAGGGAGGAAGAGAGAGTCAAGGGCGACCTTGTTCCGTTTGTTGCCAGGGGGTTGCGCGGGACGAAGAAAAGACGGAAAGTTTGGCGGATTGGCGTTCCGGTGAGTTACTTGCTAGTTCTTAATGTTGTTGGATAAAGCGGTAAGGCTGCCAAGCTGCTCCTCAAGACTGCTCAGAGCTTAGGCTTGCAGAAGGAGGTTTGCAAGCTCTCCCACAAGATTTGCAGCTGTTCTGCGGTCTGTATGGCCCTTGGGTTGTTCGATGCAAGGCGGGGCGCGAAGCCTGATTTGGCTGCTGGGCTTGTTGACATGTGCCGGCCGGGCCTGGCTAGCACATTGCTGCAGAAACCCCAGTCGGTTCCTGTCGCGTGCGTCATGGTGTTCTACCATTGGCCCTTGTAACCGGCAAATGTACCCTGCCAGCTGTCCACGGCCTTCTTGACAGCTCAACCGAACTGAGCCCAGGATGGAACCCCGACAAGCAGAAACAACAAATCCCACCCTGGCGTTCGTTAATTATCCCAGGGTTTCAAGCTGCTTGCCCCGCCATGCTCGTCCCGATTGTTAAGATTTGACGCCAATTCGAAGTTTCTCCTCTACGACCTGGGCGTCGAAAACTTTTGACGACCGCCGAATTGACTTGCCGTGTTTAAAGCCCACTCGGACATTCGCGACGCATCGGACAGTTGTTTACAGAACCCAATATCCACTTTTGGTGCCCATCGGTCGAGGATTTGTTAATCGAGACATACCACCAAAGACATTCACATCCCTGAGCCGTCGCGACTTGAGCAACGAGCTGCGACTCCACAATCAGTGCTGGGCAACTTTGATAAGAGCAATGGCTAGTTGGATCAGCCGTTTTGACGCGAAATACCCTTAATTCTGTCCCGTCCAACCACCAAGCAAACGACTGCGGCGTCGTGACCGCCGATTCGATCACCCCCGCGCATCTCCACCCACGCAACAGCTCCCCGACTCAGTACTCTCTGTGCCTCTGCGATGGCCCAACTATTAACATCTCGGCAAGCCGAGGAGCTGTAGGTATTGCGTCAGCTTGGTTGAGGCGCGGCACGAAGTCGGGAACGGGCACTAACGGGGCAAACAGACACCGAGCCCTCATCGCCTACCTGTCCTCCAACAACCTCACAAGCACCGCCGCAGCGTTACGAGCCGAGATCGGACTGGGAGAGGATGTATTCGATGCCACTACGGCAAAGAAGTATGAAGGCCTTTTGGAAAAGAAGTGGACGAGCGTGGTCCGGCTACAAAAGAAGGTGCGCCATACATCTCGTTACCCCCGTTGCAATGTACTTTCTTCTTCGACATGGTTTCTACTCTGTTTCTGTTCCTAACAGCTCTGGTCGCAGATAATGGACCTCGAGGCGCGCAACGCCGCCCTTCAATCAGAGCTCTCCAACGCGACACCCACGTCCAGGCAGAACAAGGATCCGGTGAATTGGTTACCGAAGTCTCCCGCGCGACACACGCTCCAATCACACCGCCAACCCATTACCTGCGTTGCGTTCCATCCCGTGTTTTCATCGCTGGCTTCAGGTTCCGAAGACCAAACAATCAAGATATGGGATTGGGAGCTAGGGGAGTTGGAACGAACAATCAAAGGCCACACCAAGACGGTCTTGGATGTCGACTTTGGGGGGCCGCGCGGCAACACATTACTTGCGTCATGCAGTTCGGACCTTACGATCAAGCTGTGGGATCCGTCGGACGACTACAAGAATATTCGAACGCTGCCTGGTCATGATCACAGCGTCAGTGCGGTTCGATTCATTCCATCTGGCGTCGCGGGCGGCGCTGGCAACTTGTTGGTGAGCGCGAGTCGGGATAAGACACTCAGGATATGGGATGTGAGTACGGGGTACTGCGTAAAGACGCTACGAGGGCACGCGGAGTGGGTGCGCGATGTCTGCCCCTCTGTTGACGGCAGGTTTATCCTCTCAACAAGCGACGACTACACGAGCCGGCTGTGGGATGTGTCGATAGCAAACCCGGAACCGAAAACAACGCTCATCGGCCATGAACACGTTGTTCTTTGCTGCGCGATCGCACCGTCCGCCTCCTACCCTCACCTCGCGGCCATTGCGGGGGTCAAGAAGCCACCAACCACGAGCGCCGTCGAGTTCATGGCAACCGGCTCGAGAGACAAGACTATCCGGCTGTGGGACGCTCGGGGCACCTGCATCAAGATTTTGGTTGGACACGATAACTGGGTGCGTGGTCTCGTCTTCCATCCAGGCGGAAAGTACCTCCTCTCGGCGTCCGACGACTACACGTTGAGGTGCTGGGACCTCACGCAAGAAGGGAGATGCGTCAAGACGATATCCGATGCACACGCCCACTTCGTGCAATGCATCCGGTGGGCTCCCTCGGTTGTCAAGGACGTGTCTGTGGCCAACGGCGGTGATGGTCAAGGCGGGGAGGCGAATGGGACACCGAGACAGGCGGCTGGGGCCGGCGCTGCTGAGGCACAAATCCGCTGCGTTCTAGCAACCGGCAGCGTTGATCTCAACGTGAGGATTTTCGCCAACTAGGAGGGCCGATTAGCCGCCGACACGGAAGCACCCAACGCCAGGGGCCAGGCAGCTCGGCATGACGACGCGAAACTCTGGCGGTTGTGAGCGACCCGACACTGCAAAGGGCATCAGAGGACGCGAGGCCGGCTGGGCCGCATTCCAGAGGGGCCTCCAGTGCAGGTCAGTAACGGGAGGTAGAACTGCCTTAGGGGGTTTGTATCTCACCCGATATCCAGATCCCGACAAGCTTCCCGCAGGAATCGCCATCGCGCATAGAGGGCCCGGATCTGCCATGGAATCCTACCCTTGGGGCTGACGATCTCGCCGAGCCAACACAAACGACAGCGTTAGATAGATACCCCTACAGTAAACGATTTATGACCTGCATGTTCACTCTCGTCGAGGAGGCCTCCATCCCTTCACTTCCGCTCTCTGTTAGGATCTCACAAAACGCTGTCTGGTTCTCCATCACCAAACCTGCCGGACCAACAGCCGCCCTCCCAGACCTTGACTTCAGGTGCACCAACGCACAACCAGCCGCTTGTCAGCCGTAATTCGGTCGTAACTGAACTTGGACTTTCCAACATCAGTTGCTGTCGCCACGCCCCACCCAGGCCAAGCCTCGACACCTGCATTCGCCACGACTAACTGGGATCGAAAAGTCGAAGCCGGGGTTTTCCGCAGCCACACTTGAACACAACGCGGGTCGATGCCACACACAAGTACGCCACGGGCTTCAGGTGCCGCTTCTCACGGGACTGGCAGCTTGGACGGGGCCCCCGCCACTGAGAAGTGGTGGCTCTCGGCAAATGGATGGGAGGGCAGCTGCTGTCCGGAGGGTTGGAGATTTGCTCGCCTTCATCCCGTTCATGATTTCAATACCCGCCATCAAGGCACTGGTGTTTGTTGTGGTGGTTGGCGGTTGGTCGTGTTCAACTTTCGCTGCACTTCTCCCAGACATCCGCCAAGGCGGTAAAACCGCCGAACCCCGTGTGCCTTTGGAGGGGTCGGTCTGTGTGAACAACCCCCCCGTCTCCAAAATGGTGCCGGAGAGACCGCCGTGCGGACGGAATGGGTGCCTGCCAACTGTAACATCGGTCATTAGAAGGGGCGCCTCGTGGGGCTTTTGAAGGGGTCGGGGTACATACATCGAGTCCGAGCAGGCCTCTAAGATTGCTCACCGAACTGAGATGTTCGGTATCTAGTGTTGGAAATGGGATGCAAGACCCGCTAACAATGCCCTCGGGGTTTGGGCTCTCGTGGGGATCGATGGGCAACCCCCGAATGGGAACCATGGATGTCGCTCTATTATTGCCTACCTCGGCGTTTTTTCTTTTCTTTTTCTTTTTTCGGCTTGCATCCGCTGAATAAGCTTAAATGCAGTGGAGTGTACTTCATTTGTAATGCAAGGAGTTTGTGGTTCCGAATCTCCAAGAGGACGGCAGGTCGGTCACGATAGTAGCTTCAGGGGGCCGAAAAGTCCTTACCAACGTTGGATGCAACGCTAACTCGCGGGGCGAGTACGACACTAGATCAGAAGTTCTTTGAGATGTAAGGCATTAGTCAACAGGTTTCAGTGCCACAAAGGCTTAGGGACTCGAGGGGAGCTAGAAACAGGGTTTTAGGTACCTCCTTGATGTGTGCTGACGGGAATGGATCCAGCACCTAGTTCCAATAAAGCTTGTGACCGGACAAGACAACCTTATTCCTTCCCGTGAGGCGGGCAGTGTGGAGAGTATTAAAACCTAAACGTTTCCTTCTCATCTTTATTTCGACAGATCTTGTTGCAACCCTCGAACTACCAAGCCCGACGACAAGTTCACTTGAAACCACCATGGTGAACTTCCGCCTTCTTCCAGCAGTCCTGTCTGCCCTCCTATGGGCACCGGCGTCACATGCCTCTGCCCCTGACGAGTTTGTCGGCCGCGCCCAGATCCAGGTCTTGAATAGCACCGACGTTAGAACCGCTTCCCTGAGCGACCGGGTCGGCTGCTTGAACGCGCGCGGCGAGCTGACGCTTAACGACTGCGCCGTCTTTACCCGCTCCGAGACGCCAACCCACACGCTGTTCACGTCTGCCGGCAACTGCACCTTCCAGAACCCAAACATGCCGCGTAACACGGACAGCATCTACGGCCGTACGTAACAGCATGCTCGTTCCTCTGTCTCTCCACACCCCGTAGCTCTCTGTATCTCCCTAGATCTATCTAGTTATCAGTTCTAGTTCGAGAGTGTTCTTAACATTGCGTTGGGCCACAAATCGCTAATTTCTTCTGACAGAGAACTCGCACGCCTTCTTCTGCGGAGAGGCAGATTGGGATCAGTACGACGAGTACTATTACACTATTGTAAGACCTACGCTGCCGTCTCACCCGACCTCCCTTTACTCCCCATCCCTGGCTGCAGTGATGTAAACACGATTGTAAGCTAATGGAAAGGAAACAGGACGGGTTTGCCCAAGCCATTTGTCTGCAACGGCAACATTAACTGCGCCTTACGATATCAAGGGCCGTTGTGCCTGGAAGCCCACGATGCCTTTACCTGCCTTGGCAGTATTATTTGGGGGAAGCCAGCAGAATGGGGATCGAGGGCGGGCCATTGGCAGGTGTTGTGGTTATGGGTACGTGTGTAGGGGGGAAACGTGCGCGTACGGGCAACTAGCGGGAGTCTGTAGCCCCCTCATAATCGTCACAGTATGTGTTCTGAAGAAATCATCACTCGCCGCCGGCTGGCCGAGATCCCATGATTCCTGATGGTCCAACCCCCTCACGGTCACAGGCGCAACCAACTTGAAACGTCGGGGGCAAGCGTGTGGACATAAGAAAGGGGGGCGTCATCGACCTCATCGTTCATGTAGTCGTGACATGGCGGCCCCTGTGATGGAGCTACCTATTGACTATTGGTCTCAATCCATCCGATAGTTACAACTTCAACGCCATGATTTTGGAGAACATAGTGGAGGCGCTGAAGCCCTAGGATTAAACGAGTTATCTATGATGAAAAATGCTCCTGGATTTTCCGAGTAGATCACTTGGTTCCTGACTCGGTGCTGTGCATACCGGAGCCAGAGTGTTCATCATTAAAACTTGCGAACAGCCTTCGTCTCCTGGATCTTATATCCCCAACACCCTATCTACCCCAGCCATCTTGGGGACCGTCCTTCGCTAGCGGCATTGTCCTGCTATCTCTGACTCAAGCTAGATACATCACTACCAAGACCATCAACGACTTGATCTTGTTCCGAAGATGGTGTCTCCCATTTCTGCATCCCCACACAAGTTCAGGGGCGCATTTTACGAGCCCATAACCCCGTCTGAGGAAGAGTCCGCACCCGATAACCCCCTTACCGAGAACAGGGATACCGATATCGAAGGCCAAAAAGTCAATATCGAGACACCTGGTCCCAACGTTGAGGGCGAGGGCGGTCGACGCAAAGGTCAAAGGGTCGAGAGACGAAGCGAGTGGTCGCAATAACGGCAATCATCGCCGAGGAAATTGGGACGAAACACAGGCGCCAGCCATTTTACTGTGAGTAGAGCCCGCCCACCCAGTGAAGGTGAGAAAAGGAAACTCCAAAGCTAAAAACGGACCGATCAATCTTAGCGCCACTTCTTAAGCATATGAACCCCGAACTTTACGAGCAGGTCCAATTTCAAGGAGCCATGGAACATCAGAACGTGTACAAGGGCGTGCCGAGCCGTGAGCTTGACAACGCCTAGGAGTATTTGCAACATCGTAAGAATTTTCTTTGTCTTGACGGAGTAGCATCGAGCCCACTCTCGACCTCGACTGACGTCAGAAAAGGGAACAAGTCTGTTGTATGGGCTGGCGTCATCGACCGTATCGGCAAGTCAACTGGGTCGAGCAGCCATCCGGGTCGGGCCGGGCCGTCATCGTCCCCGACTACAGCACACAGCACAAGTGCCGCTCCTTTGAACGGATCCTCCGCTGGGCGGATGATCATGCTGCGCCGGAGGCTGAGCCACTGCCGGAGTTGAAGAGGGAGCTGTCTGTAGGTGCGTATGTATGTATATGTACTTGTACCTGTCTTTCTATCCATCTACTCGGTGGTGGTTATCTGGGAAGGGGGAAGGGGAGGGGGCTGGTCTTTCCATCGCCTTGGCCTTGTTTCGCACTGACTTTGTTTAGGGCTGGTGGGACGACGATGTGAGGAGCTGGGTTGCACATGCATACGTGCCTGATGATGTTATCATGTGCTTGGGGTACCTAACTCAGCTGGGAAGGGGTGCAGGAGGGGGTATGACGGTGCAGGGAATTCACGATTCGGCAGCGTAAATGGGTGCTGGAATGATGGACAAGGGTTGGGAGCAATAGCAGAATGTGGCGAACTAACTACCTTATTTGAGAGAATGGCGAGGCTTTATCTGGGGCTGTGTGCGTGAAGCCGACCCCGTTCCCCAAGGACTAACGCATCGCGAGAAGACATTGCGACTGGGGCCATCTTGAAGTTGGGCTCACCCCAGGCCATCTACCAACCTCTCCTCGTCACACGATGAGTATTTCAGTTGGCATTCGTTTCTGTTGGACGAAAGGTCTGAGTTGTTGGTTGTGTGTAAGTCAGTTTGCAGCGGCGCGTTACCTGGTAGCGGACGATTGGCCCAGCTGTTTCTGTGAATGTCATGCCAATCCTCTTTTAGACCGCCGGGGTCTTTCTCGGGCCAGACTTTCTCAGCCTGAATCGCCTGGCGGACAAGTCGTGGTGGGTTGGGGTGAGATTGCGAGTTAGGTAATCCCGAGGCTCGTGTTGAGGGTTCGGCATGGGGGAAAGCCGAAAGCGTTGACAGGCAGCCACGATTTACCCAATGACAGGTCGCGTCGAGGGGAGGAAGAGATGATTTCATTGCTTGACCCCCATGGTTGGGTAGGACTCGAAGGAAGGGTGAGGCTGTTGTGTTATTCACGGGAATAGCGCGATGTCTCTCGGTCAGTCTGGCTGTCTCTGTCGCGCCACACTTTGGTGGTAACGAGCCCATCACAGCCCGCCGTGTCTCAAATTTCCTAAACTGGCAGCAAGGAACCCCTGCTCTATTCGCCAGGGACTGGCTCCCAAGGGAAAATGGCGCTGCCACGCATCTTAGTGCTGACACGTCTGATGCCCCGCAGAGTTCAAGGTTTCTGCCTGAGATGTTTCCTGGGCCATTTTTGACGCCAGTTCACGGTCCAAAACCAAAGATAAAAAGTATGAACTAACCGGAGAGTTGCTGGCATCCTTCGGTTGCTGGGCGAGCCCAGCGGATTGCGGTTGCGAGTCGTTGGAGGCTACGTTGGGGAGGACAAGAGAGAGAAGGATCAAAAGCCTAATTTTATCCCTGCGGCTGAGGTGAGAAAGACCCGAAGCTGGAAGTCACCTCCGCGTTCATTGGTCTGAGTACGTGACAGGGCCAAACTCGCGCATGCTACACAACGCTGTCACCCCGGTTGCTGTAACCAGGCAGCAAGTCTCGAGTCCTGAAGAGATCGGGTAAAAAGAAGCTTTCGCCAAGTCGATCCCTTCCGTCCCTCCATCTTTTCTGTCTTCTCTTGGCATCTACACTGAAGATTTGGCACTTCGGACGACGCGAGTCGGGCAAGAAGATGACGATGGCTCCGTTTAAACGCCAGAAAACCATGTAAGACAGGTTGCCACCTTGGACATACCCTTAGCATACAACTAATAACACAACGTTCTGTAGACATGTGGCGAGGGTCAAAAGGCGTATTCATAGCATCGTACCATGGATACAGAACCCCCTCCAGGGCGTCGACAAGCAACACCTGGTCTTCGCACCGAGGCATGAGGCCAGCACGCTCGAGCTGTTCTTCGATCTCTTCTTCGTCGCCAACCTCGCCACCTTCACCTCGTACCACTACATCGTGGACCACTCCTCCTTGTTCGCTTACATCGGTTTCTTTGCCATCATCTGGGTGACATGGTTCCACACCGTCCTCTACGATGTCCGCTTCGAGAACGACAGCATCTACAGCCGGGTATGCAAGACCGTCATCATGATCGCCTTCGTAGGCTTCGCTTTGGTGGGGTCAGCGTTTGCACCGGGCACGGTGAAGGGCGACAACACCAACTTCCGGGTCCTGTGCTACACCCTAGTCATGAGCCGCGTGCTGTTCAGCATACAGTACCTCGTTCTGATCGTTTTCATCGCCAAGGCGAGGCGGACAGACCTGTATCTGCCCTTGTCCCTGAACAGCTTTGTTTACATCGCGGCCACGGCCGCATATGCCGCCATGATCCCGTCCTTTGCGGAGTCTAAGCCGGTAGACAGCCATAACGGCATCTACAGCATCTGGTGGATTATCATGTCTCTCGAGACAGTCGGTACCATCGCCATCTCGAGTTGCTGGAGAATGTTGAGCTTCAAGAAGACGCACCTGGTCGAGCGCATGGGGTTGCTCACGCTGATTGTCATTGGCGAGGGTGCCATTGGCGTGACCAAGACCATCTCCCGCATGATGGGGAAGGGCGGACTCGACCCGGAGGGGTCTGGTTTGGTTCTCTGCATTGTTTTGATCTTGGTAAGGAAACCCCTTCATCCCTAGCCTATCTAGCATGCCGTTGCAAGGACGAATGCGCTCACACACAAAACAGGTCGGTATGTGGATGATCTACTTTGACCACCAGCCGCACAGCCACTTTGGTACCATCAAACAGCAGATCTGGTCCTGCCTCCATTTCCCCATCCACCTTGCCATCGTGGGCCTGGCTGAGGGCGCCCAGCAGCTGGCCTTGGCCCGGTACGTGGCAAAGAGCATTGCACGATTCGAGAGGTCAGTGGTGCAGTACTGCCTCATAGATCACCTCGACGGCGAGGATTTGGTTGAGAAGTTGACCGCTTCCGTCAAGTACTTGCAGCTCGACAAGAAGTTGACAAGTCTCGTCTTCCTCCCCACCATTACCGAGGACATCATGCAGATCGGCAACGCAACAGGCATCTGCGGTAGCAGCGTGGAAGGCACCAATAACGGCGACTGGCCCGACCTAGTGCTGATCTTTTACAAGCACACGGCGGCAGCCCTGTACAGCTCGCTCGGCCTGAGCATGCCACTCAACGAGGATGTCATCACCATCATGCTCGACTCGTGGAAACTCATCTACCGATACTTTTGGAGCGCCTTCCTGATCCTCGTCGGCTGCTTCCTCGTCGTCATGATCTTGATCCGGACGACCAAGGTGGATGCCTTCGACTACGTGGCCCTGACCACACGTTTCTTCGTTCTCATTGGCGGTGGCGTGATTCTCGGCCTGTCGGCCAGTCCCGGCATCCTGTACGACCTACTCGGGTCGCCTGCCATGCTCCCCATCGCCGTCATTTTGTTGTACTTGATCATCATGCTCGACCGGCTCGGCGCCTACATTGCCAATAGGAGGAACGCCAACTCGGGAGACCCTCTCATCGGAGATGTACACGGCCACGGGCACCACGAGCACGGACACGACGGACATAACCAAGGACACGGCGATGGGCACCACGATTATGGTTCGCGCGGTCACGATTCCGAGAAGCAGAGGCTCAAGGTCTCGACAACACGCGGAGGTGCGAGGCCACGCCATGGGAGAGTCAGGACGCCGGTGCCATACAGCCCGCCTCCTACTAATACTTGGGTGGAGACGTCGTATGGTTCTCCAGAGACGCCCCCTTTGTATGCATCTCCGCGGATCTATGATGCACCCCGGCCACCTGCTCCAGTGTCGGAACAGGTTCTGATAGACGCGAGATATGCCCCGCGTGGGTACATGCCGGTACAAAACGACCAGTATACCGGCAGGGGGTATTAAAAAGGGTGGTAATCCTGTTTGGGAAAGCGGTTGCTGGTGTGTTTTGGGTAGATCTGAAGAGCGTTTTTAGCAAGGCGTTTTGTGTTGGAATTTGAACTTGATTTGTTTCCAACGCGTGGTCGGCGATAGATGATGACCTTAGGTATTTTCGTGTTAAAGCAGTTGTGTCCGTCGTTCATGATATTTTAGGCCCGTTGACGCCCAGCCGGAGAAACAACAGCCCGAGAAACGATTCGCTGATACCTGCCAGGCAGCGATGTGCTGCTTGTCTCTCCTCCTCTTTTAAACGCGTCTCATCTGTCCTCACGTCGCCTCCAGTCACTTCTCACTTATAAACCCCGGATAATAGTCGCCATGATGGCACCCATGGGCCTACTTCAACTGCCCTCCGAGATTTTGTTGCACATCCTAAACCATGTTGGCGCGAGCTTTTTCCATCAGGACCCCAGCAGGTTACGCGTTTCTAAGCGTTGGTACAGCTTAGCATGGCTGATTCTAGCCCAGGATCCCCATTTGAGTCTCCAGACACTGCCACGACTTCTCGCAAACGAGGAGACCTTTGGGCGAATCCAGCCGCATGTTGGCTCCGTGAACCTGGTGCTACACTTCCCCGACAAAACTGTTCGGGACTGTGCCAACGTCGACGACAAACGTGTTGTCGAAGCCAACTCCCACTTGGATCAGCTGGCCGTATTGCTGCGTCACTGCCCACAGCTAAAGGCGCTATCCCTGGTTGCACAGGTCGACTTCTTCGGCCTCTCAACAGGGTCCATTGGCAGCCTCCTTTCCGCCTCCCCCCTCACCTCTTTGCACATCGACATCCCCATTCGCCTGGCCCTATGGAGAGGCCGGCCGGGATACAATGACCACACCGCACACCTCTGCTGTTGCATCAACGCCCTTCTTCCGTCCCTACGGCGCCTCAGATGTCGGATGCATCTGATATGCGGCCGCCTCTTGGAGCCACTGCCAGACGACGCCAACGGGCCGCTGAAACTCGAGGAGCTCATCATCAACTTTACGCAGTCACCGTTTACTGGCCCAGGCCGGCGGGATCCAAGATCTTGTGACTCCATACTGGCCCCGTTTCGACCCACACAACAGGTTATCGAAGCTCAGGCGGAGGCATTAGCCGCGCGACTACCCAACGCTAGGATGGTAAGGGTGATTGGGTATGGGCCTCGAAAGTTGCGAGGGATTTACGCCTATAATGCGATCACTAAGCGTCGGGAGATGTTGAACTTTTACACGGAATGGGATGCGTCTGGAACGGTACTTGCGGATGAGAATGGAGGGAGCATTGAGGGGTAGGCATGGTGCGGAAGGTTGTATCAAAACCATGATGCATAGGTAATGGTAGTATGTTGCGGGAGGGATGGCGTGCTTTTCCCCTGAGTGTTCACCACTAAGCTCAGCGAGCTGACACAACGCACTTGACCAGCTCGGCGAACGTGATCATCACAAATTGAATGCAAAGCAAGTGACGGTAGAGGTAATCTATGAAATGTACTAACACACATCAACTGTTGCCATGCATCGCATAGAAACAGACATGAACCCATCCTCGCAGGCCAGGCGGGCGGCTCCCACTTCGACCTCGAACAATGAACAACCAGAACCCAACCTAAACCATCCTCCCACCCTCACTCCCCAACCCCATCTCCCTTACAAACCGCTCCACCTCCCCCCCAATATCATTCTCCCCCCCACAATGCTGACACCTCGCCATTCTCTTCCCCACACCTTGTGTCTCCCGTCCCTCACCCCCCCTCCCCCCCGCCGCAGCACCGCCCGCAGCAGCCCACGACGTCGTCGCCGCCGCCAGCGCAGAGGTTGAAGCGCCTATCATCCTCCACACGCTGCTGGCTTTCCACACCCCGCTGGTGTTGGTACTGCTGTTGTTGGCGTTGGCCAGACTCACGCGGGGGGTTCACCGACGCGGTGTACGCGGCCGGCATGACGGCGGGGCTCATGCCTAGGGCGGTGCGCTGTTGCGTGGGGTACTGTTCTTGTGTGTACCCCGTTGCCGCGCCGTGCGGCTGCTGGAGGCGGGTGAGATTCTGGGGCTGTGTGGTGGTTTGTGGGTGGGGATGGTGTTGGGGTTGGTGTTGGTACTCGCGCGGGGGGTGGGCGGTTGCCGTGTAGGCGGCGGGCATGACCTCGGGACTCATGTGTTGCTCGGCGGAGTCCGAGTCGGGGTGGGCGTAGCTGGTGATGCCGGGGACGGATTCCTGGCTGGCGTTGGGGTGGTGGGCGTGGTTGCGCTCGCGTTCACGTTCGCGGCGGAGATGCAGGGGGATGGGCGTGCCGCTGGGGAAAGTGTGTTGAGGATCGTCGCCGGTGGTGGTGCTGGGACCTGTGGTTGTGGTCGGCTGGTTGATGCCAGAGGTGGCCGCGGCGGTGGCGTGGTTGCTGTGGCGGTGTGACTTGGGCTTGACCTTGACGCCGGAGGCGGTGCCTGATGGGAGGACGTTGTACTCGGTGGGTTCGCCATCATCTCTGAGATCATCCGTCGCAGTATCGCGGTTTCCGGCTTGAGTCCCGGGGACGGAAGACTCTCGGTCAATGCCGGAGGGGATGCCAGACGCCAAGGTGTTGTAATGGCCTGGCTCTTGCGTGACGACGCCACCGTTGCGGTCCTGGGAACGTGCCGCCGCCTGAGGCTCGCCAGAAGAAGCAAGGACGTTGTAATCACCGGACTGGTTGGATACTACGTTTCTCCGTGTGCCCTCAGACCGGGTAGGGTTGACGCCTGAGGCCGTACCAGAAGACAGAGTGTTGTAGTTCCCCGGCTCGTTTGTTGTGGCGCCCTGGGTAGTGGATTGTACCCCATGGCTTACGCCGGATGGGGTGCCACTTGCCAGGACGTTGTAAGTCCCTGGCTGCTGCTCCTGTCCCGACAGTGGCATTGGAGGCTCTCTTGGATGCTCAAATGGGGTGGAGACTTGACCGACCTGATGGAGAGTTTCTCCAGCAGGACCAGCTCCCCCGGTGTCAACTGACCTTGGGTTCAGAGTAGGGTTCGTGGTATCCTTAGGCTTCTCGCTGATGCTGTTCCTTTTGCGGTGATGGAGGAACCCAAGGGCGCCAGCTCCTGCTGCCGCTCCGGCGGCGGCTTTCTCCTTGTTATGGCTGGGTTGCTCTTCAGGGTCGGTGTGGTTGGCCGACGGCGACCGTCTGCGCTGCATGGCGGATTCACCTTTGCTGAGTTTCCGCAAACGGTTCGGGGAGTCGACTGTGACCGTATCTTCTCTTGCAAGCTCCACGCGGTCGCCGGCAGAACTTCTGTGGTGGGTGTCCTCTTTACCCTCATCCTTGTGTCGGTGGAAGATACCGAGAATTCTGTGCTTCTTTTCGCCTTTTGGCGACCCCTCATCACGGCTCGTGGATTTTTTGACTTGAGACCGTTGCTGGGAAGGCCGCCGTTTGCCTGTTACAGCCCCGGCTGTTTGGTGTCTATTGTCAAGGTGGGGAGACGTAGACTGTCCCACGGTTTGATGGCTGTTGTCCAGGTGGGGTGATGAATAACTTGAATCCTCATCTGGTGGGCTTTTTCGCCCCCGGTGCTGCCCAGCATATGCGGCCGCAGCCGCGCCGGCGGCAGCACCGTACCGCGATGGCGATGTTGACTCACGTTTGGCATCGCGGTTGTCAGTTGTCGGTTCCACTAGAGGAAAGGCACGCGGAGCGGCAGCTCCAGGGTTTCCCACCTCCCGGGAATGCTGGGCATCGCGAGAGGCAGCTTCTGCGAGAATGACGTCGTCGCTCACTGCCGTTTTAGGTATCAAGGTCGGCTCGTAGTTGGTCTTCTGCTGGCCTTCAGGGATATCTGACAGAGGTGCGGCAAGCATGTTATCGTTGGCAGGACCGACAACGCCAGCCATGTTTCCACCGCCGGCGATATCGCGGGATTGGTGGTGGCGTGTAGCCTCTTGGTCCTGGCTTCCGTGTCCAGTCACGGTGTTGTAAACGCCGCCACGAGGGTAGTTGGCGATACCGCCGGCAATGACAGATCTCTCCGGTGACGTTGACTTTGGAGGGAGGTGGTGATGCTCATTGTGATCGTCCGTAGCACTTCCATGGCCAGCCACTGTGTTGTGAACGGCTCCATTGGTACCGGTTGGCAGGCTTCCCCAGTACGGGGCAGCGTTGCTGGACGTTTGTTGGGGCCGGTTTGCGAGATCGGATCCCTGCACACCGTCGGACCCAGCCGTGCTCATGCCTCCCATTATGGCAGCCGCTGGGAGTGTCCCAACATCCTCACGAGGGGTTGTATCGTTTCTGGCGGGCTGGGCTGAGGTTGTCGCAGTGTTGAGATCAGCACCGCTAGTAGGTTCTAGGCGGCTGGTGGGCTGGGCATAGTCTCGGACGTAGGTCCCGCCCCCTATTGCTTCCTCGGGGCCGTTCCAATTCGACTCATCGTGTGTGGAGGGCTGAATGGGTTCCTGTCCGGTCATGCCAACACCGGAATCGGTGTACCTGTGGCTACGGGGGTCGGCGGGCTTGTGCAGCTTATTGCGTTGACGGTGGTGTTGATCTTGAACGGGCTGTTGCATGGTCTCCTCTGGGGTAGGGGGGATGGAATCGGGATATGCCCCTGGATAGGACCCGGTAATGGATGCAGCTGCCATGGCACCGTTATCGCGTTTGGTTATGAAGTGGCGCTGAAAAGCTAGAAGCAAAAGTGAAAAGGGGTGTTAGGGGAAAGAAAAAGGGTTGTGGTTTGTGAATGGGATGAGGCAAAAAAAAGGGACGGCCCCAACCCATTAATACCCTAAAAGGGGACCTCCAACAGCGTCATACCAGGCCAACCTAAGGACGAACGACAACTGGATCCTCGAGATGCGATGACTTCAGACGCCGAACCGGTGGTCCAAGAACGGCGGCTCTGACATCATCGTCTCGGCTTTCGCTTCGAATTGACCAATGATGTGATAGGATGGGCCGAATTGAGTTCGACTGACGTTTGTCTTGGCGGTTTAAAGAGCAGCCATTGTCCTTGGAGGCAAGATCGTCGCTCAAGGTCAAACAGGAGCTGAATATGTTGCGTCAGTGTAACAATCAAGGTCAATACCGGCAAAGGTATCCCGAATGGTGTTTAAGGGCGTTAATCGTTGACAGAAGGGGAAAGGGGGGGGTATAACGAGCCTCGATACCCTCTGGCCGGTTTTAGCAACATGGAGGGTGTGCATTGGATGATGGGTTTGGTATACGACCACCTCGGTAGGTACGCAGTTACCTGCTCCTTTCATATCATGGCACATATCTTGCATTTCAAGCTCCATGATCTATCCTCTCCACGCACACCATCCCCGATCCCCTCAAACTGTGACTCTTCAGCCAGCCTTACACCTCTCTGAATATATTTATTTTTCAATTATTTTTTTTTTTTTT